GTTGAATCACCCCCTCTCATTCATTTAATCAAATAATCTAGACACCCGATGCAGAAGTGATATAACGGTGAATTTTCAAGTACCTTGTATCCGAATCAAACAACAAATCAGCGACGTGGTATGGAAATTTGTTGTGCATTATTACGAATCTGCGTTCCATGCACAAAATGACTTGATGATTTTATTCCCTTGGTTGATAAAAACGATGGAAAAGTTGAAGACTAAACCAGTTTTACAGAGTTTAAAAATTATAAACGAGGTTATAAAAAATGCACTAAAAAAGTGAACTTAATTTTGAGATATCCTGTACATACAGTCAGTGGGCATACTTGAAGACTGGCTACAAATCAAATCATCTAATTCTAAAGGAACATTTTGTTCAGGCTAGTCTCAACTCCCTACACTGTAGGTTAATGGACTGACACCTATAAGAAAACAATTACTCTACTGGCTAATACTACGAAGGGTATTGGATTATATCCGACAGGTGTCAGTGCAGGATTCTTCACTGAAGTTATTCCTGCATATGCTGTTGGCCATACAACTGACGCAATAGATTTTCAATTATTGGAACGCACTTGCAGACCGGTTTCGGACTGTTTGGCCACTCGTCAGTGCAAGGTAGTGTCTATCATCAACATTGTAGGGAGTTGAGACTGGCCTGAACAAATTGTTCCTTTAGATGATTTGATTAATAGCCAGTCTTCAAGTATGTGCACTGACTATATGTGAAGTTTTTTTCCTTATACGAGGAATTGGGTAAATTTCGGATATGCGGTTGGTTACCTCGTTCACAGGCAGATGGGGCAATGACAAATCTATTGTTTGTTGTCCGCTTCAGCCTAGTTCGAGGAATGATACTCTGAAGGAATTCGATTTTCAATTATCAGAAATCATCGACTTTATGTTGATAATAGACACTACCTTGCAGTGACGAGTGAAAAGATGGTAGTCGGCTGGCGAGTGGTCTGGGGAGTATTATGGGCGAGGCAAAATTTCGATGCCCAATTCGTTTAATATTCGGACACACACAAACGTGTTCTTTGCAGTAATAAGAACCAATGAGAATCAAATTAGTATATTTCCAATACATACAGTGTGATATAAATAATCTGCAGATATATAACAGCTTATCCAATGATTAGGCCATTCAGGAGTTAACTAGTTGAAACATTTTGAATCAAAATAGCACTCTGAAATCATCAAAACATTCGCTGGTTGTACACTCTCTATATGATAATATGATAACGGAAGTGATGAAGTAACTAGGAACGTTATCGATGAATCATTCAGCCTATGTGATTAGAAAATTCAATTGAATCAGTTTTCATTTATTTCAATGAAACCATGTTTTTCAATAATCGAATATTTTTTGATAGAAACAAAGTGAATGTGATATGTAGTTTAGTATTCTGGTTTATCAAACATTGCTCATACGTTATTTTTTCGGTCTTCACATTTAAATAAAAGAAAGATAATTTTGTCTGTAGATAGCGGCACCCCAGTGATAATTTCATTATTTTCAAGAAACATTATATCATGTTTTATAATAGAGACAATCTGATAAAAAAATGATAGAAACAACATAACTGAAAAAAAATTGTTGATTCTTTTTCAGGATATATTGTTTAATTATGTCGCTTTTGGGGGGTGAACAATCAAAGTTTGTATTCGAATTCCAAAATTTGATAGAACTGGCCGATATAATTGATGAAAATCAATATTGACACTTATGATAGAATTTTCTTCAATATTTTCACAAGGTTTTCTATTAGTATAAGAGTTTCAGTGAAAACCTTGCAGTAAGTAAATTGTATTTAGTATACGAATTCAATTATGATTATGAACTTTATGTGTTGTCTACAAGGTTAAATTTTAGGTTAGGATTGGTTTCACTGACGTTACTGCTTTAAAGTATATCAATAATAAATATGTTATAATTGATAATTTGTGTTATCAATAACGGCATCGATAATGATAGATTATCATGTGGGAAATGATAATATGTTGAAGTGCTGCTATCTCTAACCGCCAATGGAAGTGCTTCCTTGCGAGTCATTTTATCAAAGATGACGAGATACAATACTTTGATACAATTCCAAAACAATCAAGCTAGAGATAATCATTTAAAAATGATTCACTACTCATTAAAATTTGTTTTTTTTTTGTATTACAAAAATGCGAAATAACTTATCACGTTTACACAGCCTCTTGGAAAAAGGTTTACTAACTGATGCTACTAAAACCAATGTTACCCAAATTGTATCCAGAAGAATGTCACAAACATTCAAAAATTCATTCGCAAAAACTAGTACAAAGAACAAAATTGTTGGAATGGCTGTCATGAAAAGATGAAAGTAAAACGTGATGAGCTTATGAGTCTGCAGTGCTTTTCCGCAAACTTGAAAGAAATTGATAGCTTGGACGTCTCCTAAATAACAAAAAACAATGTTAACCCCTCTGCAAACACCATTTCCATCCATCGTTATCAAACAAGTTTAATAACCCTAAACATTTGACCGGATTTGTCGAATCGTGAACACTTACAACAAGGTTAGTAACCATACTTAAGATTGAACAATCAGTATTCCAACTCCCAAACGCGGGAAAATTTAAGTGTTTTTCTGGCGCAGACAGGCCTTCAATTTCTCAAGACGAGTGAGATTTTTTTTCAACAGAAGTAGGAATAGATACTTCAATGTTCTGTCGCAGATTAGGTATTGACCGAGGCACAGATCTTTGATACCGACGTAGTGAGATTTCAGTGATAATGTGATAATGAGTTTGTAAATAACAATTCTTGAGAGTGTAACAGAAACTTTACGTCTGAGATATAGAGACTTATGTGTCTGATGCTTGTAAGTTTCAACTAACTATAAGACATAGATATAGGTTGAGAATATAGTTTTCTATGCAGTTCAGCCATTGCACAAAAATGCTAGTTGAAAACTACCAACCGTAAGAAGATACGTTTCAACACATTGAGATATAAGTTTATAATTTTCAATTTCATCTTTGAAAAAACAAGGTAAGAATACTTTGGGCAACAATTGTTTTATTAATTTTTCCCACAGAACATTGTGGTACTAACATAAAGTATCAAATAGTATGGTTCTAGACAGAAAGAATTCCTGATATCACAACAGTTATTTTCTCAAAGTTTTCCAGTATATAATATGACGACGGTTACGGGTTTTATAAAGCTTGATGTGTAGTTATAGATTAAGTGGTGATGACACATCTGGAGACGGTATTCTAGGCGGTTTGAAATGAAAAAAAACGTTAGACGACCCTAGTAAATTTAAAATCGACAAGTCTTGGGAGGCGTTTGCAGTTTTTTGTTATTGCGTAGAAATATTTATCAAAAAGTTCCAATTCGGCGTCATCTCATGGCACCTGTCACACAAATACTTCAGGGTTGCGTTCAATAAAGTAGCCAGCTTCTGATGATCTCACTTCAAACAACCCTTGAAAGTTAAAATTCTTGCGAGCTAAGGATCAACGAGGTCTTACCTTTCAACGTGCGATTTCTAGCACGATAAACATTTGCCTATCAAAACTGAGATCGCTTGTTTGAGCCCTGATGTACGATACACTATTCAGTGTCTTTAGGAAGGCTAGACTAGAAGTACAGTTGAATTTTCTTCTATTACGAAATTAACTAATACCGGTAGAGCAGGTTTCTTTTGTTGTAACAGCGGCAACGCTGTTCACACGACTCTTCCCCGTATTAACCTAGATTGCCTAGATTTCAACAGTCACGCCTTTGATCACTGTTTAGGTTTAGAAGGACAGAGAAAGCAATAAGTAGAGTATAATGTTTATGATCCTTCCACTCGTTCGTAGACAAATAACGTATTTCATTTTATTGCATCATAGCTGTTCCCTTCCGTACATTTTACTCTATTTTATCGTGTCCCTCGGTTCTGAAACAAGAGAAAATTGTCGATTAGAGTAGCTTTCATGTTCGGGAGAGGAACTTAAATTTATCCAAGCAAATGATTCAATTTGAGCAGCGGCGTTTGCAGGGCATTATCGCTCAAAAACAGAATAGGTTTTTCCCCGTCTCGATAGAAATTAATCCAGCGAACTGTCGAACTAATTGGATATTGGAGATTCTACAGAATTTGGAGTTGAGAACAATTTACTCATCGTTTCAACAGTGAAAACTATATAAATCTGGGTGATTGAATTGATTTTTTCAATATTTAACTGAAATAACTGATAAATGAGTTCATTGGTTAGCTTTCATTAATTTGGATAAAACGCCGTATCAGGTAATTCTTATAGATTAGATCTTACCTGCATGCTGAAATTTATAAGTAATAAAATTCAGTGCGGGTAATTATTAGTTGAATCTAGTAGCTCATAAATATACAGAATGCTTCGGGAATATCTGTATCAGTTATGTATTTTTTTTTTCAACTGAAAAACACAATTGTGGCAGAAAATATTCTTGGGGCACTCTGAGAGCGTTGTCTATGCGAAACTGGCGATTGATTTTGGATTTCAGTTGCTTTAAATTCTATTAATTTATAAAAAGACAATCAATTGATCACTGGTTTGGTTGTTATGCTAATTTCGTGGGCATGCTGATAGCCTCCTTTGGATGTATATATTCAACAAAATCGAATATGTTTCTATGTTATTTATATTGTTGTGGCCAACGCAGACCTAGGACAGATTAGAAGTTTTTCAACAGAATAACCTCGCAAGAATAACACTTTCACGGTTTAGGATATCTTGGAAAACTATGACAGATAATTTAATATTTTCTTTCCAGTATACTTTGCGGATTTGAAAGACTTCACAACCACTTTCAGGGCAAATTGGTTGAAAAATTGATACCCTTAGACTTTTCTTCAGTTTCCGACTGTTAAATGTTATTACTATATCAAGTCAACCTGCAGTGATCCTTTTATCCCGAGCATAGCATGTGAATTTACAATTTTTGATACTGTTTCTCTTTAATCATATCAAGTAATATATTTTGTTTGCAGAGATGGTCGAGGCGATGAAAAAGGTGGCGAAACTCGACCTGGAACTGACCGTCGAGGAGAGGAATCTCCTTTCGGTGGCCTATAAAAACGTCATAGGGGCTAGGAGGGCGTCCTGGCGCATAATTTCATCAATCGAACAAAAAGAAGAGTCAAAAGGAACCGACGACAAACTCGAAATGATACGGCAATATCGTTCACAAGTCGAAAAAGAATTAAGAGATATCTGCTCGGACATATTAAGCGTTCTGGACAAGCACCTAATACCTGCCGCCTCTTCGGGAGAGTCCAAAGTCTTCTACTACAAAATGAAGGTCAGTGAACTGAGAGTTTTGACATTATTCTTGGTAGTGAAGTGTAGTATTCGATTTGTAACCACAATCTACATGAATGGTTAGTCGAGTATTCGACAACTTTATTCATGAAATTTTCTACTATGAATCTGAATAATATTGTCTTCTTGAAACTAGAGCTCAAAAATAACTCAGTGGTGATAGGCTGAAATCGAATGTTTTGCTGGACTTGCCTATCTTTAAAAAATAAGCCTCAGTAAGTAAACGGGATAACATTTACCCTCAAGAAGACGGGATAACATTTACCCTCAAGAAGACGGGATCGACAGAAGTCCCAATCCACAAATATCAAAGATAAATGAGGCTCCCCAAGGCGGTATGTTGCAAATACCAAGTTTTGGTATCGACCGCTAATCGAAGTTACCCTTCTGTCTTTCATTGTAGCTTCCACAGTGAGACTAATTATTCAGTTGCGCATCAACCACTTTGTCCCTTTCATCCCCTATTTTTTAGATTAAAATGGGTTAATTTGTTAATATCAATATTCCATACAACAATTTATGATTTCTCAAAATCCCAATCACTCCGTATCCACAACATTTTTCTTATTTCTCTTAGTAGGAACACACTATTTTGTATGACTTTCTAGATTTTGAGCAATCTGAGTTCAAAAACTCATTTAATGTTTTCTGTTTTGAAAAAATTTATTCAACATTTTGTATTTGTACTAACTTTCAAATACCCTATATTTATTATTTTCTGTCAGCAATTACTGTTTTTCAAAGTTCATCACTTTATCTTGTTTTAACATTTTCTATAGCTTTCAAGATCCTCGAGCTTTCCAGACTCTACATAATTTTCCCAACTTCTTATATATTTATTATTTGCTAACATCTTCAATATTTATCTATATTGCTTATAAAAGTGTATAATTTCCAAGATTCCGAAAACATTTTGCATCTACAAGATGAGTTTTTATTTCCTTAGATTTTTCAACGCCCAATATCACACCTGTCTCAAAGTTTATTATTTATTGGCAAATACAATATATTTTTCAAGTTTACATCATTCTGTACTTCAAACTTCTAGGTTTCCAAGCAACCTGAGTTCAAAACATTTTTGTTTCTCGCTTTTTACATTCATTAGTGAAAACTAGTTCACAATTCATGAAATTCAACAAGAATCCTGTCACAGGCATTCCTAATGCAATTCTTATGACAACAATGCAGCTATTCAACATTACTCAAGAATAATAAAGATAAAGAAATATTGATTCTTTTAATGAGGAACGTGACATAAAAATGTTCCTGTTTGGGGTTCATCAATCTCTTTGAGTAGTTTACTTTAGCCAGAATATTTTTCTTCATTTTTTCGATATTCGTTTGTAGAACATTGTAAATCGAGAAAAGAATTTTGTTTTGGATTACATTGTTTCAGTTACGTAACACCCTCAAATCGGAAAAAAGCTTTTTGGCCTTCTAGTTCTCCAGCTTTGTACAAAAAAGGTGGGAAACTTCAGAAGGAATACTGAGCAGTCAAGTTCAAATATGTCTAGATCGTGCATAGAAATTGCTTTGAAATATAAACTAAAAGAAAAAGCAATCCCAGAACAACTACTCTCACATGAACATTGAATCATTAACCTTGCTTCACCATCCGTCTAGTAATATTTTCCAAATAATGTATCATTTCTGCCAACAATACATTCACAATAGGCATTTTGAGAAAATTTCCAGTTAAAATAACAAAAGAAATTCAATACAAAGTGTCATTTCGAGATTTTCCTTGTTTTCCCAGAGTTTTGCATCACCACCTTGCTAGAATTTTCAATTATGATCATCATACCGCTAGTTTGACATCTTCTATAGAAAAGTCGAAAAACTACTCACATTGTGTTTTACCTGTGAAATGAAGAATGTGATGATTTTCATAAATATTTTCAATAAATAGACATAAGGGGTTCTTCTTGGACAATATTTAGTATGGTTTTTTGCAATTGGTGACATACAATACAATTTTGAAAAATGTATCAAACTTGTAAAAAATAAATTTGCTGAACCTCACAAAAACTGTATTTATGTCAGTTCCTTATTTTATCTTCACACTATATTATTTTACACAGTTGATTAATTATTTGGCAGTTTCATCATAATTCCTTTTGGTCCCCATAACATTATCCTTTATCATCTGAGTGAGATATAAACAAATATTAATATTTTACTATCGATGACATAATCAGAGTCAATAAAACGTGCTAATTTCAATTCTGTTAATTTTCACTGATGTGTCACTTGGGTAGGTAGATAAATTAGGTGGGTATACTTACACGATGGTCTTGAATTTTATCTGTAGACCATATGCTTTTTTGTTATAAGGATCACCAATGACTGCCGACACATCAGCTAAAAGACATCAAGAACGTATCAAATGTGAATGGGTTTAGGAATAATTTTTCCAATTAATAATGATTTTTCTATCTAACTAACCGAATTAATGAGAAGGCAATACATAAATAGGGTAATAATGGCAAAAATCTTCAGTTAATCTAATGAAATTACTGTTCGCCTGCTTTTACTTTAAAAGACAACCAGTGTCCAGATGGATAACCTCTGAAGCCTGGAAGCAATTTTTTTTTCTTGCCTGAAGAAGTTTAAACCACGTTGCGATTTTATAGGCTGTGACTTTTAAAAAATTTCACTTATGAAGAGATTTTGAAAACAGATCATATAAGGAAAACATTTATTTCCATATACAGTGTGTCCTAGTTAAGTATGTCCATTATAGGTATCCCGGAACCATAAGATATACGAAAATAGTCAAACAAAAGAAAAGCGAAATTCTAAAATTATCAACATGGTCGTCAGAAAAAATGATTCCGCTTACTTGCGGAATTTAAAAAACCGTATAATTGAAAATTAAGTTCAAGGTTGAGTTATGTTACTCTTGGTGATCGATTCAACAAAATAAACATCACGTTCAAGTATTCTCGAACGTCTGAGGGGTGGAAATAGGGTCAATGAATAAAAAAATCCAACATTGAAAGTTTAATTTGTACACTTACAAGAGTGAGATGTTTTATTCCTGGGCTTCGATTCAACAATATCACAATAACAATCTTGTAGGGTGTACAAATTCAACTTCTAATGATGAGATATTTTTTTAATTTTTCACTCTGTTTCCGCCCCCTCAGTCGGCCTGGAAAATTCGGACGTGATATTTATCTTGTTTAATCGATCACCAGGATTGAGAGCAAAAGTAGTATCTCGAATTCTCAGCACCGACTAAGTCAGTGGTGGTTCTTATAATGGTCATTTGTTTGAACATTCTTCATAATCTGCATTTATATTTTTTGTTTTAAGTAGTTTGTAGGTAATTTGTTCAATGAATTAATATATGACGCAAACTATAGCCAAGTAAGATGAGATTTTGATGCGCATTTAAAACCAAGTTGTACCCGTCCCAGAAGATAGCTATTTGCCACACAAACTGATGTCAGTAGTACATTGGCGAAATATGACTCGAAGTGGGCGGAGTCTTTTAACACAGAACGATTTTACGTTTCTGCGCTGACTCATTTTAGTTGGTGGCATGTACTATACCTACCTAGATAGAGTTTTTAGTTCTTAAATAACATGCTTTTAATTCAATCTTTTTGAGTAGATCTTACTTCATAATAATGAATAATAAAACATTCTAGCAAAAAATGGTGTATTGTCAACGCCTACTACAATTAACTGTTTAACCTCTAATAAAAACCTTTTGTCATTTAAATAAAGTAGAATTTTGTTTTAGCATAAATTTTTTTATTCATATTGAAAAATTATATTCAATATGTGTTGTTGCTCGAAAAAACAATGTAGTGTCTTATAAAGGAGAAAAAGTAGAAACGAAAATGTGAAATTATTGTTGTCCTATTTTTTCAAAGGGCAGAAAAAATCAAGTGGAAAATTTTGTTTTTTATTCAAAAATATATCGAATATACCATATTACTCTCGATTCATCTGTTATTATATAAATTACTGATAGCAACAGAGACCGAGAAGTTTTTCTTCAGACCAATAATCGGCAGCGATAGCAAAGTAAACCATTGAAACGACTGAAAATATTCGCAATAAGTCGTTCAAATTGTAATTTTTTGCCTTTGACTAAAATTGCTAATTTACAAGTGTGCCATTTATTTTAGAATCCAACCCCACAAGGATACTAAGGTCTAGTTGACATTCTTATACATGCTTTCCTTTCATTGTCGTTTCAGTTTCTTTATTAGGGCCTCAATTTCATAAAATTTTAACACTCGTTTCCACACCAGGACCGCTATTCTTGAGTTTCAAGAAGTTTAAATTATAAGAGATGGCACGAAATGAAGTGACAACAAATGTGTGGTTACGAGTTTTGAGTTTGTCTTTTCGGAGTTCGTATCATAAAATTATACTTTCGCTAGTTCTCATCGCATACATCATACAATCCACAACCACTTATCGCTTCCACTTAGATGTTGAATCTGCAGCAAGGATTTAATTGCATATTGATTATTGAATAAAAATAATATTGTATTTGGAATCGACAGAGGACTCTATCCACAAATATCAAATATAAACGAGGCTCTCCAAGTTATCAGTGTGTTTCATATTGTGTCAATCGATACTGTTTCTATGAGTTCTATAGGCAATAAAGTATATTTGATATGATTTTATCTTGAAAGAGGATCGCTTAATATTCTTTGCTTCCGGAAACCATATTAGTGATCTCTGAACATATTTATTGAGATGTTGAATCACTCTCTGATTCACTCCTGAGGCGTGACAGACTGTGGGGAATGTATCATTTAAGTAGATTACTCTTCTGCTATAGCTTAGCGCCCCCTGGATCGGGACGACACGGACCGGTACGCAGATCTGCACTCTCTGCCGTGCCCGAAAAGTTCGAAAGAAAAATCTTTATGACATCCAGAGTTATTGAATTGATTGGCAATGGATGTTCCTAAACTAATTAAGTTGATGTAAAACTACTTGTAACTCTAAATATGGGTCATCCGGAGTACTTTGAATTTGTCATTTTACCAAACTTTTTGTGGGTCATCCAAAAGTACTGAAAGAACTTGCATTTGCACTCGATCGAGTCAGGAAATAGGGTGTGAAACTCCAAGTTCCAATTTCTTCCTATTTATAATATACAGTGCATTCCCTTCAAAACGAGCCACTCTGAATAACTTTTGGCACAATGATTTGCAGAAAGAAAAAAAAAACATAGTATTTGCAGGAAACATAAAAACAGGTCAACAATTATACAGGAGGCCACATTTTGAAATATTCGTTCTAGAGACAAATATGGAAGCAATAAATCAGAAAAAGATATTTTTTATTAATTCAACATATCCAAATATTTATCACTAGTCAAATTATCATAAAAAAAGGTCCTATGATGTGGTTACCTAAAATTCCTGTCCAAACATTCAGTTTTTGAGGTCGTTGGGTATGAACTTGACGGTATAAAGGAGGATTCGTATCACTCCAATACCGACAATTTTGCCAATTCACCTCTCCATTCAAACTAAACGTACATTCATCCGAAAAATAAATTTTATACAAGAAATTCTTATGCAAGTTGATCCGTTCACAAAACTTGATACGTCTATCTAAATCATCTTTGTGTAATCCATGAACTAGTCTAATCTTATATGGATGAAATTTGTACTTATGAAGGATCTTGAAAACATGTGTACAACTGATTCCTGATTGTCGAGATAACCTAGTAAGAGATTGCGAATTTTCCATTAGTCCAACGTGTCCTAAAATTGCAAAATACAAATAGCTTCATTATTGACAACTCTTGAACGGTTATGCTTTTAACTGTTGATACATCCATAACTTCAGGTGGTAGGTAATCGTTATTGTAGAAATAGACAAATACAAAATGAAGAGAATATCGAATTCAAACTTAACAAGGCAAAATAATACTTTTTTGAAGTATACTTCACAAAAACACCTATGAAACCTAGATAACAGATTGTACAGAAGTTTATTCAGGGTGGCTCGTTTTCAACTCAACTAATTTTTAGCTTTCAAACTATGAGCTTCAGACCATAATGTATTCTACTTTGTTGAAATCTGTTCATCGTGGAACATCTGATAATGCAAAACAATTGATCCATTTAAAAAAAATGGTGACATGCTCTGGGGGTGCGATAGGGAAAGTTAGATCAAATGTGAATATATCAAAATGTGTCCCCCTGTATACTATTGTTGAGGTGTTTTTTTATTTTTCCTGGAAATCATTGTTCCAAAAGTTATTCAGGGTGGCTCGTTTCAACTAAAATAATTTGTAGTTCCTGAACAATGAGCTTCAGACCATATGTCTTATAATTTGTTGAAATCTGCTCATCATGAAGCATCTGATAATGCGAAACAATATGGGATGATCCATTTAAAAAAAATTGGTGACATGCTCTGGGGGTGCGATAAGGAAAGTGACATCAAATGTGAATATGTCAAAATGTGTCCCCCTGTATACTATGGTTGACGTGTTTTTTTTCTGCAAATCATTTTACCAAAGGCTATTCATGGTGGCTCGTTTCAAATGGAATTCACTGTATACATGTATCTCAAAATCAGTACTTGGCACTACACCATACTAATTCTTTTCCATTAAAGGGTTTTAATTTCTTTTTTTTTTTTTTTTCAACCCTTTGATATCAGGTTCTTGCACGGATTACTCAGTTGCATCTTTCCATGGAGTTCAACAACAAAAATAGCATCGATATTTCTGTAATAATCTTATAAAAACCGAGAATGAAAGTCGTAATTTTTTTCGTCGCGTACATTTCGTCGTTAAAAATTTCAAAAAATTCTATCTGTTTCGTTTTCGGAACAGATCGAATATCTTCAAGACTTTTTTTTTAATACAAAAACAAGTCAATTTTCAATCATAATCTTAACTTGACCCCTTGGTGACCATCACCGTTTGAATTTGAATGGGAAACGTACTAGATGTGATACTTCATTTTAAAATATGACGTGAACAAGTCATAGAAAGGTAACAAAAATTGAAAAAACGTGCATTATATGAACAAAAGAATTTGCAGTAGTTGCTCGAACTGTTCTCTATCATCTGCCATACAAAAGTTAGTCTCGAAACCCTGTCTGACATTTTAGAGCATTTCAGGAGTTACTTGATGACATTGTTTTTCCCGCAAAAGGCTTCAAATGAAAAGTTACGTAGTGACCAGTTACACGGATGAATTCCTTATAAAATGAGATATTTCTCAATTTCCATCAATGTCCAAAATTATTTTGGCTCTTATACGGAAAATCCACAGAAATCGATTAGAAATCTCTTGATTAAAATTCAAGAAACGTCACAATCAGCATCGTCGCGTGTTTATTACAATCCGCTGGTTCGATCGCAGCGTCGAAATATTCGGTGATTTTTTGTTCTCGTTTCAGGGCGACTACCACCGATACCTGGCCGAGTTTGCGACAGGCAATGACAGAAAAGACGCCGCCGAGCACTCGCTGGTGGCCTACAAGTCGGCCAGCGATATCGCAATGACGGAGCTGCCGCCCACCCACCCCATCAGACTCGGTCTGGCGCTCAACTTCTCCGTATTCTACTACGAGATCCTCAACAGCCCGGACAGGGCGTGCCGGCTCGCTAAAGCAGCCTTCGACGACGCCATCGCCGAACTCGACACCTTGTCCGAGGAGAGCTACAAGGACAGCACGCTGATCATGCAGCTGCTCAGGGACAATCTCACATTATGGACGAGCGATATGCAGGGAGACGGTAAGTTCGATGAAGACGATGTCTCCGCATTTTTACTTGAAGTACCAATATTGCTTGAATTATTTCGGAATTTTTTTTTTGAACTCACGAATATTTTGATAATTATTACTATCTTGAGAAAACACATTTTGATAAATCAAGTGTACATGGTATTAGCAAAAAAAAGTTCACACCGTATTGAACAACGACGAATTATATTTGAAAGTTTCTGTTCAAGCCAGTAATACAGCTGTAAGAGTTCTGGCTCGTTCCTTATGGTAAAACACCTGCAAATTTGAGCAGGTCCATTCTGATGATTTTCGGACCTAAGGTCCAATTTATACAGAATGAACGCGCCTCGTCTCTGCCAGACGTCCATTCTGTATGAATTGGGCCTCAGACCTTCGAAGCCCACTTCAGATTATAGTAAAAATAAATACAATGTTATCCTTATTTATACTATGAATACCTCTGCTAGGTACCTGCCTCTTGATTTTCTTAAATCAATTTTCCAATGTGGCCTTCGTAATAGTCAGGAAAATCTGATAATTAAAATATTATGTTTAATTATTTCTACACTTTCGTAGGCATCTAGATGCCTGTTGTTAACTTGTCTAACTAATCTTAATTAACTAAAGTCTATGGAACGGTTTTGTTGCAAAATATGATGGGCGGCTGCTGATTTTTTTGGTTTTCCTTATCAAAAGGTTTGGTTGTTTGAAGCAGTAGCCATGTTGATTCGTGTTCATTATTTGAATACGTTATGAATATTCATCAAGTATCGGCCAATTCCATCACACGTATATTATATAAGTAAAACCTCTTGAACATTTCTTTTATTTACTATGAAATTTACTTTTAAAATTATTATTGAAGTTTTTTTGAACCATTCCATAACCAATTCCTTTCTGTTTTGTTGAAAACTGATTTGTAGTTTATTACACCTTGTTTCATATTAATGTGGGTTAACTGTTGAATTGTTCTCGTTAATTTGATTTTTCACAAAAGTTACTTATTTTGGAATATATATAAACTTCTTAGCATTAATATTTACTTTTCTTTCCGAGAAACAAGAAAAGGAATTACAACTGCTACTTACATACATTCTGAAAAGTAAATTGTGATAGTATGCAACTGGCTATTAACTTCAATAACTCTTGTTTTTGAATGAATTTATTATATATTCACAGTTTTACCATATTTGTAATATCTGCAATGATTTGAATTCCAGGTGAAGCGGAACCGAAAGAACAATTACAAGATGTAGAAGATCAAGACGTATCATAATTTCAGAATGTTGCGCCTGGCGATACTGAACTGTTGAGTGCTGTGTAGTGCAGGGCATTGCCCAGACATTGTGAAAGGGTCGGGGCAAGCAATCACTTGCCCCTGAGCCCTGGTACATAATGTATTATTATTACTAGCTGTAACAATATATTCTGTAACTGTTTTGTCTCTCCCGAACGATTGCGAGTTGTGCGAGTCCCCTTTCGTCCGTCAACATAAGTGACATGTTTAATTCAATATTAAATATAGTAGTCGCTTTTGTTTTCGGAACAAATTGAATGATTGTACTAGAATCTTCGCTTTAGGTATTTAACGTTGGATTTTTTGTATTTTTATCTTCAAATAAAATTGTCGAGTATTTAATGATTTGTTACCAGTCTGATTTGTTCTCCGGACAAGTTTCATTTGATTTATTATCAGATGGATGTTTTGTCTTGGGCACTAATTGAGGCAGCGGCACGATGTATAAATTATGAGAGGCTTATTTTCAAGATTCATTTTTACCAACCTATGACCAATATTTAAATCTATGTGGAAATTTCTGTCGTTGATTCTTTTTTAGTAAATACGCTTAGAGACGATCTTTTGCCTTGTCGTACTCTTGTAGAGTTAGAACGTTTGTATATTTGATACAAGTGATTTTGTTTTTTATTTTTTCGGTATGGATTCAGTATTTTTTGAAAAACACGCATATATCCGTACAAATTAGCATTCCGTTTTGCATTTTTATTATATTTATTTAAATTTAGAAATTGGTTTGCATGTTGAATGTTATTGAAGCAATAATTCTTAATTACACATCCTTTTTCAAAGTTCGTTACCTGAAAGTTCGGCAATTATTTTAGGCTTACTTTGACATGCATATCAATTGATTTTAATTGGAAAATTTGCTGTTACATCACGTAATTTAATGAATTTTTATTGTCTTATAAAAACTGGCAGCCAGGTACTTAGTCAGCCGTACTTAGAAGCACTGCCAGGATTTTAAAGATGAATAAAGATGAGATTGTTTCAAATAATTTGCTGGTTTTTTCAAGACAAAACTTAAGCAGTTAGTCTTCTTTTAAATTGTATTTTTGCATTTTTATTGTGCGTATGGATGTAAACAATGCTGTGTAGATTGATATAAAAAAAATTGATGTATTATTATAAAATTATTTAAAATTCTATTTCTTTCCCCTTTTTCCTAGGGAACTTAACTGAATTTATTTTGTCTTCTGGAACTTGTGAAAAATATTTTTTAATAGGTGTGTCAAAGCCTTACCATGACTGAATTTTTTTATTTGAAAGAAAGGTTTTGGCTACCTACTTCTCCATCCTCGTAAAAAAAATGTGGGAATTTTCTAAAGAAACTGGAATAAAAGCACTCTTGAAGCAGTTACTTTCACATAAACATTGAATTACACAAAGGAAAAAATACTTTGAATTAAGATATTTTCTTTTTTTTTGTCTAATGCATAGAATGTGGAGGGTAAAGAGTATCTTCCTGTGAGATAATTCTTTTTATGATGGTCATATACTTACATTTTTTAGTGCTGTTCTCCAATACAGACTGACAATAAAACACCACATTTATTTAAGTTATATGGGGTAAATCCGGAACTTTCAGCAAGAACTAAAAAATAAATTTTTTGCACAACCACCTGTCATGCTATGAACATTTTTTTATGGAAAATACAGGTAGGTAGAATGCATACTTTGATACCCTTTTTATAGATGCCATAAATTATTTTACTTTGAACTACCATACCTACAATGGAGTTTTTGTCACACAGAACCATCCTGTAATCTTCCTTTTTGAATTAGTATCCAATATTTTTTCAATATATTGTATAGGCTTGTCTGAACAACTCTTATTTATATTCCTATGTATGATTTACAATCCACTATAAATTGTCTGTTAAATTCAGGAACTCTTTTACAGAAATCGGGGACATCATTGGAGGATAACAGATTTCCACTTACTTCAGGTATCTGTCTAAAGTCTATTTCAGGGGAAATTTACAATTTTTGATGCAGATTATTTTTCAAAGAAATATTATAAGGGGTTGAAATTTAAATATTCACTGAAGGTTAAGTGTTAATAGGAAAGACATTACAAAATATGATTCTTGGAAATCTCAAATGAAAGAAATTAAACTATCTTCTCCAAAATACTTGATTTCAAAATGGCTTATAATTCAACTCATTTTGACCTTGAATTTGAATAACCTATCCAAAACGCTAGCAGTACTCTTGTTATGATGAATCGTCAATAATAATTGGAAAATCACTTCAAATCTACCTTCCGATTAATGATGATAGTAGCAATTCCTAGAATACACCAGAGATTTCAATTTTGACAACTGAAATGACGTGTGAGGATAAAATTGAAAGCTATCATGATCAAAAGGTTCACGCGGTGGTTAGTACATTAATACAATTGTTTAAAAAAAATACAATTTGATAGGTTTGAAATGTTTTCCTGGCTTATGACTAATACCAAATCAAACATGGGCAAAAGCCATTGAAGAAAAAGAAAAAAATGAGGTTTTCGAAAATTGGCATAGTCATTGTGGATCATGAATAATCGAAGTTTGCAGTTTGTTTCAAAAATTTAAATTCTGTTGAGTAGTCGTCGAGGGAAAATGGAAGTCACAGAGGGCGTCCCTAACAAGAATTTCATGAACTGACAAAAAATTTCAATAAGTATTCGTCACACCCAAAAGATGAACAGAAACCCTAGTATCCATAACCAATTCCTTTCTGTTTTGTTGAAAACTCAAGAAACGAAACCTTTGTACACTTGTTGATTGGTGGTGCAAAATCTAAATCTGTCTACTTTATGTGAAAAATGACATTTTCCACCTATATATTATACCCAAGTGTAAACAGCAATGAAAATTGAAGTGCCAATTATATATTGTCACATGGTCATTTGAGTTGTACTTAGCACTTTCGAGAAAGAAATGTATTGGATCTCTTCATTATTCATTTGTCAAGAGTTCATTTGTTATTTCAGAAATTTAAAGTCATGTCAGACAATGAAAGTTGGAACTAATGACATTCACCGTGAAACGTTGTGAACCACCGTCAAACAAACCTGTTTGACCTATATAGTCAGTTTATTGTTTTTATCACCTAAATGAGAATTGATGACAACCAGAATTGTTCAGTGCTGTAAAAATACCTATGTGAGTTATAAAAATGATTTTTTTTTTCAAGAAAATGACTAAATACTGTGTGAAATCATTTGATTCTACTGATCTAGGATTGTAAAATATAACGTATATTTTTTTACTCCTAATCACAAAAACTAGTCGGTTCAGTAATGTTTTTTATCAAAAAGTGATTAAGGTATTCATTAGTAGGAATATTTCAAATTCAGACCTGTCATATGCCAATTGTCCCTTTCACCATCGCCCTCAGAGTAATAATACTCCATATACCCAAAAGATGAACAGAAACCCTAGTATCCATAACCAATTCCTTTCTGTTTTGTTGAAAACTCAAGAAATGAGACCTTTGTACACTTGTTGATTGGTGGTGCAAAATCTAAATCTGTCTACTTTATGTGAAAAATGACATTTTCCACCTATATATTATACCCAAGTGTAAACAGCAATGAAAATTGAAGTGCCAATTATATATTGTCACATGGTCATTTGAGTTGTACTTAGCACTTTCGAGAAAGAAATGTATTGGATCTCTTCATTATTCATTTGTCAAGAGTTCATTTGTTATTTCAGAAATTTAAAGTCATGTCAGACAATGAAAGTTGGAACTAATGACATTCACCGTGAAACGTTGTGAACCACCGTCAAACAAACCTGTTTGACCTATATAGTCAGTTTATTGTTTTTATCACCTAAATGAGAATTGATGACAACCAGAATTGTTCAGTGCTGTAAAAGTACCTATGAGTTATAAAAAGTGTGAAATCATTTGATTCTACTGATCTAGGATTGTAAAATATAACGTATATTCTTTACTCCTAATCACAAAAACTAGTCGGTTCAGTAATGTTTTTTATCAAAAAGTGATTAAGGTATTCATTAGTAGGAATATTTCAAATTCAGACCTGTCATATGCCAATTGTCCCTTTCACCATCGCCCTCAGAGTAATAATACTCCATAGTCACCACCAGATGCCGCCAGGAATATGTTTTTCGGCAGGTTTGAATTACACATTTTCAATTTTGTATCATGAAAAAGTTGAACTTTCGTTTGTAGTTCCAAGCAGGTTTCACAATTGATTGGAAGTATTGTTCTTATTGAAATCAAAATATTTTCAAACGGACAAATACGTGTTCCTTATTGCTTGGTTTTCTGGTAATTTGATTCAAAGTAAATTTTGAATATTGCAAGTAAGCCAATTTTTCTCAAGTCAACATAATTATTACAAACAACTATATAATAGGTTGAAGAACTGTCAAAACAGGCGATGACCAAGTTCGAAAACCTCAACATATAGAGTCATCTCCGATTGATTAACACCTTTACTGTCCCAAATTGAATTGTAGCTAGCTCACTGACAGTCTTGAAAATTCTTATTATATATGATAGGTAATTGAATAAAGTAGGTAGTGTTTGTTTCCTTAAAGGAAACAAAATTAAAAGGTAAGACCTCGTTAGTCCTTAGCTCGCACAAGTTTCTCAACTTCTGAGAGTTGTTCGTGTGGGAGCGACAGCTGATTAATGAAAAACAGATTTTTTTAGAAAAATCACATGATATGAAAAATATTCAGGACTGTCGAAGTCGATTATAATTTGAAATATTAAAATTTAAAATATTCTGCATTGAATATCAATGCAAATAAAAAAATGGATTATTCTGCATAGGCATGTTTTCGATTATGATAAGTTGACAACAAAAAAGAAACGGATTATGGCCCAATGCGCCTGAATGGAAGCAAAAGCCAGAAATATATATATTGATAGAGAAACGCACACACAGAACTGTCAAAAAGCTTGCCAGTCCAAATCTCATAGCTATCTCTAGAAGATATCTTGTCTGCTCGTGTCCTGTTGCTGTCGTTTACATTTTGTATTAATTTGTTATTTTCTAGTTCTGATTTTAGAAATCACTAATTTCAGATAGCCAGATGAGATAATTCTGTTCTAGATCCCATTTTAATTATGTTAATTTCACGGAATCGTGTTTCTCTAACAAACATTTTATGTATTTTGAATCTGTATGTGAACAAGGTGAGTTTTAATTTTTAAATACCCCTAAATCGATTTATTCAATGAATTTCGTAGGTCACCGCGGATTATTGTGAATTCGGAACTTGTAATGAAGATCAATACTGTTGTGGAGAAAACAAGTGCTGTCAAAAAACAGTTGAGGTTTGGTATTTTTGGTAAAATTCTCAAAGACGAGTCTTTTTGGTTTTGTAATCTATTCCTTTTAGGGCAAAAGTCTTCCTTTTGATGGTCATCACTGTCTTCATCATTCTGTATATACTCCTTAGAGTGAAGCACCTATGGAAATATAATTCATACAAAAAACTCTCTGTTGAAGAAATGACCACACCAGTTTCTTAGATAAGAAAGTTTCTGAGTTCAAATTATCTACATCGACATCTTTTGAATCTTAGACAATATTGTATTGTGCTTTCATTAATCTACACACTTCATATTCTAAAATGGAATATCTGATTTTCAGGAATTAGTTATATGCCAACCAACTGGGAAACCTTTTCCTACAATGATGCTCTAGTCTAGACTATTAGCACATTTCATGTCAATGACCAAAACCACTTGCTAAAAATTTGGTTTTTTCATTCATGTTAATTTTACAGATGAAAATGTTTGTAAATAAAATAGTTTCAATGTACTGTTGGATATACTTTCTCATGTGTGAATATGTACTTACATAATTATAGTTATAAATGAATGAATAAAGTTATTTTTGTGCATTATACTTTTTTGCATATGGAAATGTTTAATGGTTTTTCACGAGTTTTCTTCCTAATTACCAGAGGAGGCTGGAAATGAATAAGTTGGTTAATTACCAGTTAAGAATTCAACATCACCTTACTTTGTCACATGTATTTCCGGCATTCCTGGATCAGCTCCCTTTTGAAAGCCTGCAATTGTTAAATATCAATTATTAGTACTAGGCACACTTGATATGAATTTAAATTTTTTTCTCACCCAAATACAGAACTGTTGGGATGAATCCATAATGAAAAATAGTTTTTGCTGCATCTATAACGAGTGCTAACCGTTGTTTGGTTCCCTCAGACAAAGCCATGGTTAACGATATCAAATCTAATTTTAAGCACGATATTCCAACCTCAATCAATACCAAATTTAAAGGTTAGGTATAGAAAGAGAATGTTGCCAGAGTTTTCTAAAAACTAGGTGTTTTTCATTTGAGTCGATCATATGATTTCTATCCCCTTGCACGGAACTAATAGGTCGCTGTTTACATGGAACATGAAAAACATCTGCATCTTCAATGACCTAGACCTAATAAATATGGCTACAGGCGATCATATGAAGCTTTCTTTTTAGTTTCATGCACTGAAACGCATTTTGAAGTGAATTGTAATAAGCATACACTTTAAAAAGATTTAGGATGTCGCCAACCACCAATTAATTATTTACGAACCCTTTAACATTCGATTCATAATGCAATAATTTAGTACGTTTTGCATTAGCCATTGTAATTTCAAAGTTTTGTATGAAGGTGATCTAGATTTGCGGTTGGTATTACCTTCGGCTGGCTTAAAACTGACAGCAATTTGTCCCACAGCATATCTGCGAATGTTTCAGGAATAGGGAAAGTTTTTAAAATCAACATTGAACTGATTGATCGATTACATTGATGGATGTCTATGATGTCACTGATGGATTCCAATTGCAGATCAACTAAAAAACGAACTGACAGATGATTTGATAGAAACTGAAGTAAATACCTATGTTAACAAATGAATTGAGAGGTACACACTCAATCACGTGAAATCATTCCAAAAGAAACTTAAGGAAATGTTAGTTCGATGTGAATGATTTTGAGTTCTCCTAAGTTTAATTGGAATCAATTTCATATTGTTTCAATTTCTTTAAAATTATGATGTATACATCATACATCATACATGTATATCATTTATACATCGGTATATCGATACAAATTTTAGTTTGTCAATAATTTGTTGAACCCGTATTATATAATGTATGTGTGACTCATGATCTGAAGAAAGAAGCAAAGGAAGGTATGAGATTCTGTACTGGGGTCAAAATAAACGAATCAAATTCGATATATGTCTAGCCCGAGTAGCCCAATGTCACTCGCATTTGAATGAGTTAAAGCACGGACTACCATGCTTAGGATCAGTTTTTATCTTCAATTCAAAGATCATCTCAGCAATAAGCCCAGATGGACTCAGTGACAAATTTACATCCTATATATTTTTTTCTGTACAGGAGTCAGTGTTTCTTCTTTTTTGGTATTTGACCTGTCACAATCTGAAAAATAAATGGAGCTTAGTCATTAGAGAATCTGCTGAAACGTAATGAAGGGCAAACTGAGAAGTTCTCCCCAAAACTTTCCTGCGTAATGTAAACCACTCAAGTATCCAATAGGCCAATAACTCAAATCATGATTTTTTTGAATTTCCTCTCTCTCTCTCTTCGTCTCTATTATTGGTTTTTGCTTCCATTCAGGCGCAGTAAGCCATGTCTATTCGAGGGGATATAAAGGTCTTGCTTTACGCAATACTGCACTACTTTTTTATTCTTCCTAATTGGTAGGCAAGTCTTCTCTAACGACGGACACATACAATACGTGAACTATTACCATCTTCTTCAAAAATGATTAATTGTTGGGATCCTACTCCCACATGGACATCCGGTCCACTACGGCCTCCAACCGGCGTGAATGGGAGTAGGTATTATATATACTACTTTAGTACTCCCACGAATACTACTTCTTTTAAAACACCTAATCAATTCTCGTTAACAATAATTTTAATTATATATTGCTGGCACGTTATGAAACGGCTGACTTTCACAACACGAAATGATTGAAGGTGGTTGACAATCAATTCATATTAGACAATGGAAGTCCGAACTAATGAAACGCAACACGAAATGAGTTACTTACATCTCACATCTCCAATAATGGCCGTTCACAACTATATCGAAAACGAAACTAATTTTTTTGTTGGTATTTCATATTTTCTCAGATCTCTAAGTTTGAAATAGAGAAACAAAACAAACCTGTAGACATTTACACATTAACACCAGGGGTCGAGAACTATCGATAGTCTTGACCATCGATAGTTTTCGATAGTTCGACTTTTGTCGATAGTAAACTTTTTTTTTAAGTTTTCCATTATTAAATAAATTGAAATAGACACTCTATGGAATCAAATAAAATACGATTCATGTGGTATAGAAGTTTTAATTAGTTTCCATTCAAATCTAACTTAACAAAAATATGGAAAACGTTTCAAACTTTTTTATTAAACAAATGTAAATTCTTTCATTGAAAATTTGTCCATTTTCATAAAACGTACAAATTAAAAACCGAAAAACAATAAAAATAAAACTACAACTAAAACAAAACAAACCATAAAATATAAAATGTAAACATTCGATGACTGGATTGACTGGTGACTTTTTCTTCTTTTCTTATCCTATAATGACAGATGAAACTGATGGAAGAAGTTTCATCTTTCTCTTTTTTCTCACTTTTGATCTAAATAATGTTATTTTCTACTCTTTTTTTTCACTTCTTTCATTGTGTCATTTATGTCAACGGTCAATATCAAGTAAAAAATGTCAAGATACGTTGACATCACTCACATAACACAACTATCGAATACCATCGATAGTCTAAAAATATAGTCGATAGTGTTCGATAGTTGAAACTATCGATAGCGCCATCGATAGTTCTCGATCCCTGATTAACACATTGAAGACAAAAGTAAAAACTACACGTATACAAATAAAAATAGTAACTCAAATTCACAAGTTTCCTTTATTCATTCAAATTACAGGATTATATTGAGTCGTCTCTGAAAAATGGATTTTATTAATAAAATTCCCACTCATATGGTAAGTGAAACTTTGAAAAATATCTTCCTATCTTATAATATGTTTTTAGGACTTTGAGGGACAGGCCAGAGCAGAAAAACTTTCAAGAATAATTATTACTTTATTTGGTGCAGTAGGTTTAATTTGGGGTTACATCATTCAACAGTTTTCCCAAACTGTGTACATATTAGGTGCAGGATTTCTTTTAGCTGCTCTGGTGAGTTTTTGAAATATTTGGTTGTTTTTGTAGATTCATGAACAGTAAATAATAATAATATTTAATTCACCGAATATAGATAAAAAGGTATACATAATTCTCAAATAAAAAAAAGTAAATAAAAAATGGCATCACAGAAGGATCATCACATCCTTGTACATGAAATAGCCATATAAAATAGTACAGAATGATAAGAACAATAGGTTAAGTAAAGTAATTGTGTTACATGGATGGTTCTGATATCACAATTTGTTTGTCTTGTGTTTCTTTTTATTTTCTGATGGGGGGGTTATTGGGGAAATTTTGTTTTTTTTTTATTATTATTTTGATCAACGAGTTTATGGAAAAATGATCTTTTGGTGAGCAATATCCATTTTTCAACTTTTCTCCTGAAACTTTTGTTATTATGATTGTCTTTGATTACAGCAGGTATTATCTGATAAATTCGTGGTCCCAAGAAACAAGCATTTCTCTGTTCAATCGTTTTCTTACAACGAGGGGTATCACAGAATTATCCCTGTTTCTTGTGTGGTAGGAGTGTTCGCTTAAGCTAATCTGAATATTTCTTTTTGAATATTATTTAGAATAATTGCCTCATGTCAGGGACCTGTGTATCTCTGAAAACACTGTCACTTCAGTATGTGCGGCCTTTGTGAACTATTATATTTAAAATCTACCTGTGAATTGTATCAAGATTCACCAAATAACAATCTTAAACTCCTCCCTAGTCAATTATCCCATATGACAACTGAGACTGAACAAGTGCAAAATATAAGGTTTTCAAGTGTTTCATTTCTAGGAAGTTTCTGAGGTATTGGAATTTGGAAAGTGTACCTCTCATCTTTCTTACTGTATCTTTTATTTGTAAGTCCCAAAGAAGATGTCTATCAATTGTTGCCCCTAGATATCTAATTGAGTCACTTTCAGTTATATAGTAATTATTGTTGATATTGAGTTATCCAATATCAGGCAATCTATTGGAGTATGACATGACTGGTAAGTAATTCGTTTTATTGAAGATTTTTTTTGGTCCCTTGGGAGCTGTCTGACTTGTCCATTTAGTCCAAGTCTTCAGAAAATAATGCAGCCTCTTGGGCTTAGACACCCATTCCATCAGTCTCGTTCCCTGTAATAGTTTGTACAGGTTCCGTGTTGGATGTTCGTCATATTATTCTGGACGTAATTTCGTACGTCCATATATTGCCTGCCTNGTTGAACAAAGAAATAAGGCAAATAACTCTTCAATGAGTTGAACAGGCTGTTTGAAATCAATGTCAGTGAAAATCATATAAATAACTTATACTGCCTTGGAAACCAGAAGAACTCTCCTGTCTCCTGAATTCACTTTCTATTTGATAAAAAAAAATTCTCCAGAAAGTCAGAAACTTGAAAGGATCTAGCATAAGTCTAGCACATGACCTCACTCAAAATCAGCAAGATTTGAAAATTTTAAGGAAACATCTTCATATAGGATTAGGTGTGTACCTGTGAAGTTAAGCAGGATGTCTTAATCCACAGAAAAAGCAGATTATATATGTAAACATTGCCAAAAAAAGTGGTTAACAAAGTGACATGTGACAAATGTAGAGAATGGTTTCATCCTGCATGTTTGAAACAAGCAAGAGATTTGAAAAAATCCGAATGTAAACATGAAATGGAACAATCAATGGCGAACATAATTCTAATAGAAGAGGACTTCCTCAGAGAAGAAAACAAACTCCTAAGACAAATCAATCAAGACAAAGACGTAATTATAACTGACAAAGAATCAATAATAGTGATGCAAAAAGAAAAAATTACATATTTAGAAAATAAATTAAAACAAATCGAAATACAAAACAAACCAAATCTAATAAAATCTACAGTAAAAAACACCCAACAAAGTAAGACCACAAAAAATGAACAGTCAGAAGACCAGGACTGTCCCAATAAAAAATATGCGGGGACAAGCACTGAAATCAAACACAAAAACCATGTAAGGTCTTTAACGTAAGGAAAGTCCAATATACAGGACGGAGCGAAAATACAGGCTGATCAAATCAATTCTGATATGCAGATACAAACCAGAAAAATACTTGAAGAAGTTATATACCTAACTAGTGACGTAGTTGAAGAAGACAGTAATGATGATTTCGTAGAAGTAAAAAGGCGAAAAAATAAATATAGAACAGGAAATGGAGATGGAAATAATGACCTATATGGACGTGAAAACCCGGATAGGAAAATATGGTTTGTTTTTTTATTCTTCCGTTTTGTCAAGGAACCTATTTATTTTGATGAACAACACCTTACGATTGTGAAATTTAGTTGTTTTCATGTCTTAATGGGATAATCTGAAAGAAAAATCCAATTCATTTATTATTTATTCAGTGAAGTAAGGTGTTTTGATTTATGCACCCCCATTAGTCATTGGCTTTTTACTTCTTTTTACTCTTTAGGAGTATGCACTTCAAAAATTCAAAATGGAATTGAAACAGATATTATTCATAGAAACGCTACAGAACATATATGAAAGAGTATTAATGTAAATATTCAGTCACATGTAACAGTATTATCCTTAATGAAGCAATTCTCAAAGTTGCATGTTGAAAACACTGGTCTTCAACACCTTTTTCATCAAGTTTGTATCTGAAATATACTTTGTGTATGATGTGAACTTCTTTGCAGAGCTAATTTTGAAGTTAGTTTTTTTCTTCCAATGTTTCCCACAATTGATTTTGAAGATGGAGAAGGTATAGATTATACTTTCCTAACAGTCGCGAGTTCGTCTTACAACTTCACATATGTTTTTAATAAGGTTAACGGTAACTTTAACTTGAAATAATAAAACAATAAGCCACCGATTTCATGGTTTCCATCTGTTGGTAATTTAGGCAAAGCCACGCTTCGACTGCAATTAATCGCTTTAGGGTAGAGATGGGCCCTAAAGAACCGAACTGGTTTTTAGGAACAGGTATCAGTCAACTGTTCAGTGAACCTGTTCTTCACATCGAACTGAACTTGCTCAGACGGTGAGTGGCTATTCCAAAGACGCTTGCGCAGGTTGGTGCTGGAACTGGATGACGGGATCGCTCTGTGACCTGTGCTCTTGACTGCACTGACAAGTCAATTGTTTTCCATGAAATTTTGAACATAAAAAATGCAAAACGAATAATTAAATACCTACCTGTTGCAAAATTGTAGGTCTCTGTCTCTGTGAATTCTCCTCAACGTGGGTTTTCACTGTTTTTCTAGTGGGTAGAATTTTCACCATGGGGTATTTTTTTAAGCATATGACGCTTTAAATTTGTCACGGAAGATTTGAAGGAAATAACCTGCTTGCAAATTTCACATGTTGCTAGTTGCAGTTGTTTCTCTATGATTGAAAAAAATCCAAATAGGGCTTAATCTTCATTTTACACTAAAATTCAGCCTGTTACTGAAATAAAACTCTAGAACAACAAGATGAATTGAGGGAACGTACGGAAATTCGGAACCACTCGGACTCGAACCTAACACTGAAAGTGACCATATGCAAGATAAAACGTCATTTAAGAATAAGTGAACATGAACAGTTAAAAGAACAGGTTTTAGAGAAAAACTGGAACAAGTTCTTCAAATTCAACTGTTCAGTGCCATCTCTACTTTGGGGAGCCTCCTTTTTCTTTTTGATACTCGAGGAATGCGTTCTCTGTCGAGCTCAAAGATGACGTCTTCAAAAGGGATGTCGCTTAATTTTGCAATTGATCGCCTTGGGAAAGCTCCTTAATATTTAATATTCGAAGAATGAGTTCTCTGTCGATCCCATAGATGTCATCGCTCACGAAGGTTGAAAGTGTTTAGCCTTCAGTGCCATCTCTACTTTGGGGAGCCTCCTTTTTCTTTTTGATACTCGAGGAATGCGTTCTCTGTCGAGCCCAAAGATGACGTCTTCAAAAGGGTCGAAGCTTGACTTTGCATTTGACCGCCTCAGGAAAACTCCTCAATATTTAATATTCGAAGAATGAGTTCTCTGTCGATCCCATAGATGTCATCGCTCAAGAAGGTTGAAAGTGTTTAGCCGTCTTGATCATCACCATCACTTAAGAGTGCTGTATTTGTGTTAATTATATATTTTTGGAATTAATTACTTTTTTCAGTTGAAGAAAATTAAATGTTTCCTTTGAGTTGATTAACGGAAAAACAGATTTTTAAACAGACAGACATTTATTGATAAAACTGTTTTTCTTTTTTCAAATATAATAGGAAATATATACAACTGGATAAAATGAAATTATAAATCAACTCGACCAAATAACATCGAGCAGGGACTAATTTTTGTCGTAAATAGACCATTCTGGAATAGGATTAGTGCCAACAAAAATATCTACTATAAGCGGTTGACTTGAAATAAAAATGACAATATGAAAAACAGTTGTAATTCTGGTACAAGCAATAGATAACAGCTTAATGTTTACCTATGTTTAAGTTCTGCGATTCAAATAATGTCAAATTATGGTCAAATGCGCCTAAATAATGAAGCAACGACCGTAGAATTAGAAGAAGAATAATCTTGATACCTATTCGATATCTCGAATTATTATGATAATCGAATTATCGATTATTGTCAATTCGAATTAGCCCATCACTATTCAGGGCACGTTGACGTTACTTCAACTGCTTGGGCAATAAATACAACGAAAACGATTTTCAAACAGCAAATGAAAATGGACAAACATCAACTGGATATGACAATTGACACCAATGACAAATACAGAAGGTTGTCAACTTCATTGAATTAATTTTACTCCAAATGGAAGCCTAACTCTATTGGTGAATTGTAGACTATTTTTGAATTTGGATAATTAGGAAGGAAAAAAAGGTCACAAGATGAATTTCTTTTACTGTCTGAAATCTCAATAGAATGAAAAATGCATGCATCTTCCCTGTTGGCATCACTGGCTGGCTATACCCACAGCTTTGTCTTCCAACTTCCGGTTGTTTTCCTTTTTCATTCTATTATAGTCGGCTTGCTTATTATTCAAGACTCTCAATTGATATTTATTGGTGGGTGTATAATTTTAGCGGTGGTAGCCATTTTATTTCTTGAATATTCGTAAAAGTTTTTATGAAAATGTCAGGCGGTGGTCGCAATGATTGTAGAATTTATGTAGGAAATCTTCCTCCAGATATTCGTACAAAAGATATTCAGGATCTCTTTTATAAATTTGGTAAAGTCACTTTTGTCGATTTGAAAAACAGACGCGGTCCCCCATTTGCCTTTGTGGAGTTTGAAGATGCAAGGTAAGAAAATATTCTGAATATATATATCATCATTTTGTGCAGGAGTAATTATTTTTATATCAAATATTAATTCTCAGAGACGCTGATGACGCAGTCCATGCCAGAGACGGTTATGATTATGATGGCTACAGATTGAGAGTTGAATTTCCCAGAGGGGGCGGAGGCCATGGTGGTTTTAGGGGCGGTGGCAGAGGAGGTGGCGAAAGGGGTAGAAGTTCAAGGGGGCCCCCGGCTCGCAGATCTCAATTTCGAGTTTTAGTTACAGGTACTTGACTTTTTTTTAATAATATTCTGGATTTACTTATAAACATTAAAGGTTTATTCTTGTAAGTCATCTGACCTTTTATAAAAACTTTTGCATTCGGATTATGAAAATCTTTCAGGAAAAAATCTTGAGATGAAATGGAATGATGTACCTATTTCCATTTTTTTTACTTCTGACATTTGACAACATGAGTATGCAATTATTAGTATGATGTGGATACTGAACATTTCTATCGTTTTCATGTGTTTTGATTCCCTTTTCAGTTGTTATCTCTCATTTCTCCTCAATTGGCGGAATCTTGAAAATGCTTGTAGAAATTGTTTATTTTGATTCCATGATTCCACCTAAAGGAAATAAATAAGGGCTGCATCCAACTCAAATTATAATTAACTGTGGCACAACTAAGTGTTGGGTTGACAATAATTGAACTCCCAATCAGTAACCTCAATTCAACATTTTGATTTAGACTAGATAGACTAATAGAATATTACATTCTTTCTGCAGAGTTCATCATTTCGAAATCAGTTCTCACTCATCTTTTCTAGAAGATCAAAGCTGTACAAAATTGAATAATATTTTGATATTTGAGAAATGTGCAACACGTTTCTCAATAAAATTGTGTAATGAAATAATTGACTAACAAGTCAACAACAAGTCCCAACATTTGTTGGGAATATTACTATTGAAAGTTTATAGGTTTGCCACCTTCTGGTTCATGGCAAGATCTAAAAGATCATATGAGAGAAGCTGGAGATGTATGTTTTGCTGATTCTTTTAAAGATGGCTCCGGCGTCGTTGAGTTCTTGAGATATGAGGACATGAAATATGCCATAAAGAAATTAGATGACTCGAGATTCAGATCTCATGAGGTAATTGATTATTTTTGTAACTCACTAATATATTCTTGATGGCTTTATTTTATTTAGGGAGAAGTTTCATATATTCGTGTAAAAGAAGATAAGGGAGGCAGTGAAAGACGATCCGGCGGTAGATCAAGAAGCAGATCATTCTCACCACGCCGTCGAGGTTCACCAACTTACAGTCCTGTGAAAAGGAGTTTTTCCAGAAGCAGATCACGTTCATAATTTCCGTCTATATTCTATTTGGACAGGATATTATGTACGTATATTCGCTGCTGATGTCTTGAGCTTTCGGTTACAATGTTGTTTTCAATTTAATTGTTCTGGAAATGTTTGACTGACATTTGAAAATTTATTTCAATTGAGTAATGTTTATATTATACATTCCTCTATTTTCAAGGCGAGAAATAATTTTTCTCTGTGCCAAGAAATTTCAAACTTCATAAGTTTTGAGTCTCATATCTAGATAAATTATTCTTGGCACACAGAAGATTATATCAGTTTGACAATTCTGTTTCATAACCATGGTGACCAATGAATCCCATTTTTGAAATAAGTAGTAAGTGTAGGCACTAATGTATTTTTTCTGATTTTGGTACATTTGCTGAACCTGTATCAGCGTTGGACGATTTGGAAATAAAGAAAGATTAAAATGACGTATATTCTATTACACCTGTGGAAGAGGAGGGAATGATGTTGGAAGGATTTTTGCTTAAGGAAATCGAGGGATTGTGGAAATGAACAAGGGATTTTCAAATTTTAATGTTTTTTGAAGGGATCAAATTCTTAACCTTGTTGGATTTTCGTGGAACAAGTATTTCAAATGTTAATTGCGAGACTTATCAGGATTCGAAATCATTAGGAATCACGGGATATGGATATTTTCAAAGGATTTTGAAACATTTGCTGAACTCCACCATCCAAAGCTACAGTGTCTATTTCATAGCGATATTTCAGTTGCTTCATCATTATGGCTGGTTCATTTCTATAAATTATTATGTTGAAGATGCAACCATAAAGAAAAATTTTGCTTATTAAATTTCATAAAGTTCATAGTTTTTTCTGTGAAGATGCGGAGAACTTGTAATTACTACTACAAGAATTTTCAATTCGCTATGACTTAGACCGGTACATTTATTTTTCACAAATTGGATGTAACAACAATATCTTGAGGGATTTCTAAAACTTTTGGAGGATTTTGCATGAGTTGGATAATTGAAACTAATGGAAACGGAAAGGAACAGCACATTTTTCAATAGGATTTCCACTTTTTCAGAATTGGAGGAATAGTGGTAAATAAAACCCTTTATTTTTCCTCTTATAATAACTGCTCTTTATGATTTATGCTTGACCGGATACTAATTTTTTGAAATTATTTCTGTTGTTTTCTTGGCAGTGCATGTAAAACCGAATCCTAACATTTCACTTTAAATTTGACACGGTGAAAACTCCATCTTTATTGGATAAAAACATAAAAAAACTTTTCCAAGAAGATGTTTTGCGAGTCAATAATACCAAACTACAATTTTGTTTCATTTCAAATAATGAACAGCACCCCACCTCTATAGAGGTACCTCGTAATAGATTGCTTGATATGTATTTAAATTAATTTAAAATTTCACAAACTACACCTTACGATTTGATCTCCACAAACTTTATTCAAAAAATTATAATTTTTTTAAAATAAAGTTTGAAATGGAGATCAAATCGTGAGGTGTAGTTTATAAAATTCCTATGGATCCTTATCAAATAACTGTCGAATCAATCAGATAATTGCAAATTTTCTATTCAACAGATCACAGAAGTGGTTCCCAACTTTTTAGATCTGTGGCCCCTATTGCACAAATCATTTTTGCCCATTTCCATTGAGAACTAATATAAGACTCGTCTCAGATATAAACATTATCAATTTCCTTTTCAAGATATGTCTAGATTTTCTGAGAGTATCTACCTAAAACCACACTAACAGATGCTCTCTATTCATGCTAATCCTTTGCACAAGAATTTTTTGGCTCGGTTGTGTAGAGTATGGTATTTGAAATTGGTACTGATAAAATTGCTCACTTTGATATTAAATTCGGCTGGGGTTTCAGAAATCCTGTTAAGATACTTGATCAATTTGATATCTTGAATATGTCGTGTGGTGAGAAGTGTGCTGTAAGAATGCCAATCAATAGTTTAAATTCATTTTGTTAGGGCATTTTTGTCACCCATATCAAATTGTTTTCATACTTTACTGTTTTTTTTTTCAATATTCTCCCTAATTTAAACAACTCATCTTATTCCAAGAAATTTGATAGCACCAGCATGAACTTTGAATTGATGATTGTACTTGCTTCTAGATAATAGTTGTTCAATAGGAAAGTCAGATAATTTTTGTGGCAAATATACAGGACTTCCCAAAAAAATCCCGCCTTAAATATTTCTGAAATTGAAACTCTATCAGCTTTTTAAATGATAATATACCCCATATCATCTGAAATGCCTGATGAACACAAGGAAATAATGGTTGTCTACTTGACGAACAGTTTGAAATGTGTACTATTTACTTTTATTCACAGATACACATATCATTATGTTTTGGGTTGGTATGAACTGAAATCTTGAAAGGATTTGGTGAGACATTTCAAATAATTATTACCATTTCAAAAATTTGATTCAGCTGGGGATGTGCAGGAAGATGCTTTAGATGACAATTTGTCAAAAAAAAATTGTAGAAAACCTCCAAGGAATGTTCTGTCATTTTTATGTTTCCACCTGTTTCGAAAATATTCTAGAAAAATAATGTTGCTTTATGAAATATTCAGGGCATGAAGGTTTCGTTGGGAAGTCCTCTAGGTTATATTAATGTGTCTGAAAAATTGGCGAACATGTTCATGTCATTATTTCTGTGTGTAGTACTTGAATATTACCATCCAAACTCAGAAGTGGCATGAAATATGTAGAGACATTGATAATCATTATTTCCAAAAAAGTTTTCCTACACTACAGTAAGGAGTTGTAGGTGAGACGTTCAAACGTTTCTTTTTGAATTGAGGCACTCATGAATAAATATTGTTGCTAGCAACACGGTATTAATTATCTTTATTTGCAATATGGTAGGTCTCACATATTTTGGAGACAAAAGGAGGATTGAAAATTCCTTGGAGAATGATAGGATATATCAAGTAGCTATAGTTTAATTGCTGTAAGGACCTCGAGGGAATATTGAATATACTTTCGTACCTTTCCTAGGATTTTCATAGGATCTGTGGAAAGCAAATACCCTTTTCATCAAAAAGGACTGTTCTGGATTTCAGGTATTTTCAATTTGGTTCATTTGCCATCATTTTACATTTTTGTCTGTTATTTCAACAGTTGCATGTTTTTCTTTCAATAAACAATCTAGTAAAATATGAAGTGACTTTTATTTCATTTATAAAAACTATTACAAAGAATTGTCTGGAACATTATTTTAATCTCTGCAACTAATTTATATATAACCTTACAATATCCAATGGCCTTGCTGGTAAGTTTGTGACAGGACATCTCTGATTTTCATTCAGGAACCTCAAGATGCATCGAAAGCAAAATATGTATCTGAAAAAAAGATTTGTGGTATACTCTCAAATGCTGTAAGAGTAAAATATTTCAAGATGAAAACGCCTTTAAAGAGATATTTCCTGAATTCAATAAAAACAGTTGTCCAGTAAAAAGTGTTTGACTTGAACTTTGAATGAGCTGATACCCCCAATGGACCTAACATGAATTTCTTTGATTACTTTATATTTAGTTCCTACTTCAAATGAACTAGATCCATGTGGTGGTATTCCCAGATTGTTTGAAGAGCAGGTTGTTCTGCCACTGTCAGTATACTTGTCTATATTTCTTGTAAATAGACTCTTGGGAATCTTCCAAGAAAACTTTCTTCCTTTGTATGAAGATGAAGAAATAGAAAGCCGAAACCTTTCTTTCCCAAAAATTATACCCCTTTCAATTTAAGCTTAGGATTGGTTTTGGCAAAATCAAGTAACGAAGGAAGTGGTAATATTCCTAGTTTTTTAAAGAGAAGTCTGCAAGGCTAAAAAATGAATTCTCAACATACACCTAAAAATAAGTTTTTGTGTCGAAAAAACTTTATTTGCTAAACAAGGGGGATCCTCTCCAAAAAATAAATCCTTAAGATAGGGTTGGCTGTATTTGGGCAAAGTAGCAAACTCAAGTAATTCCGAGTCAACTGAATCATTCAATATTCTAATTGTACCCATGATATGACATTCAAATGAAAAATTTGCATCAGTTTCTACCCCCCCAAAAACTTAGTACTTGAATACAGGAGCAGATTTTGAAGCACGTTTTATGTACATATAATTACTGTGATGCTTTTCTGGTGATTGGGAAAAGTACTAGTTTTGGAAACTTTTTATAAGTTTCACCTACACAAACTCACATATCTACTAGATATGCTCGTAATCTAATCGATTGATTTCAGCATGGTCCTGCTGCATGAACGAGAAACATTTGCAAGACCAACCTCTGTGAGGTATCTTGCGTAAATGTCTGTCGGGGAAGTAGTTGTTTCCCGGCAGGCATTTACCATAAACTACTGTGCAAGTACGATGGAAGAAATGAACGTTTCGAGATTTTATTTCAAAATATTTATTCTCTTATAAAAAACCTAAATTTGATACGCCACACTTTTGCTGAATATTTCAAAAAAAAGCTCAATGAGAAATGTACTATGAATCTGTGGCACAACATAACGTAAAATAAAATCCACTGACTTCTTCCCGAATCATCACTTTTGAAGAAAACTAATTTATCAATACTCACCCAGATACTTGTAAAACAGTGGGAATTATCCAAGACTTCAGACAGAGTGGGCATTTACCTTGGTAAGATTTTGCTTTGTTGTCAATCTGAAATAAAAACAAAATTATATAACTCCTCTTGATTCATTAAATATGAAATTAAAAAATCAAAGGATTTAAAAATCTTACAAATAATTGTAAAAGCAATCATCTTTTCTCATCAAATTTTAAAACGTTCTAAGCCAATATCATTACAGATATTTGAAAGTTTTGAACAACAACCAATATCTGATGAGGCAGATACAAAATACAATTGAAGAGTTTGCCAAGAGAATGACGATTTATAAAATTAGTTTTGATTTCTAAGTGAAATAGCAAGTCAGCTGAAAGTATTTCCTGGTTACCTTGATATTTTAAATGTTAATTGTTAGTACTCAGTTTTCACAACCTTCATATTTTCTGAGTTAATATAATGCTTGAGAAATATTTTTGAGTGAGATCCCAAGTAAACCAAATTTAACAATAATTTTCGAAATTTTGTCAAGAAAATACTTTGAGTGTAACTTGCTGGAAATTTCAGACCAGATTTCATTCTTATATTAATATACATGAAAGCGTTTGCATGAAAGCAACATTTTTATAAAGGGTTTGAATGCATTTTGATTGGATGCTATGCGAGGAATATGTATTCAAATTATTTCAAGAAGAAAAAAACAATAATATAAACTCAAAATCCAAATTTTAGGGTTTATATAAAATATGAGCACTAATGTGTGGAAAAATAATAATGTTAAGTAAATTGATTGACCCCTAGAAACTACTAGAAAGAATTAACTGGAAGAGATAACTTATACAAGAGTAGTTGAATTAGGGATAATAAATGTTGGAATTATATTGTTGCGATAGCAGCTTGTGATTAGCAACAGGGTTTCAAGAACGTATGAATCAGTTATGAGTCAAGATGAGGCTTGCAAATAGATTTTGAATGTGGGCGAAGTCAATCCGAACAGCTAAATAAAAGACTAATGTACCAGGTCTGATAAATTTCCTAGTTAATACCATGTAGTACTTCCCATATAAAAATAACAATTAGATCTCGTTAATTATACCACGCCGCCCATTCTATACTTATAAACTGCCGAACCGTTCACTTCATCTCTTGAAGACGCCAACTTGGTAAAACGCGTGTCGAGAAAAGTGTTGCAGTTCTGGTATTTGAGGGGATGCTAATCTACCTATTTGTTTTATATTGGATATGACTCGTTCCAAGCCTACACACATAATTTGTGAGATCATTTTCAGACAGTTTCTTCCATGGATCTCTCAGTATTTTCACCCTAATCCATTCAATATCAAATATTCACCCTGGTGATGTAGCTTCAATAGTATAGGAAATGAGGACAAATATAGGACTGTCTAATATTATTTACTGCAGATATCCAAATTTATCATGAAACAAATTTTGTTATCCTCAAAGACTTTTATGAAAATCATCTGAACATTTCTTTCATAACTTTAATGGTTCTGAGTGGAACACCAAAAAAAATCATGGATAGTTAAGGATATATTTTATCAGGCAATACATTCAAGATACAATTTGTCCACTTATGGAATTGAATAAATATGTTTGATATATGATACATATAACATATGCTACTAAGTGTTGCCTTGTTTAGTATGAACCAGTTCTACTAGATATTCCTCAAGTAATTTTTGCAAAAACCTCATTTTTTTCAAATGATTTTTCAAGTGATTTCTATTGATTTTGTTCAGATTGGATAACTCGTTTCTTGGTAAGTCATTTATAAATAATATTTACAACTTACTTATGATTTCAAGGAAACTTGAAGGAGTAGTAAAAACCTGTGATCTGTAATTTTTCAACTCTTAAGATATTTTTTATGGGATCAGTATTACCAGTTTCAATACACGTCAAGCATACCTGACTTCCCTGTCTATGAAAACGATGATAAAAGATTCATTGTTGTACATTAAATAAAATTGTACTATAAAATTCCCATGAGTCTGAAGAGTTATTATTTGCATGATTAAGCCTATTACGGTTCAAATGAATTTTATGACAAGTCATTTTATGAATGGTAACATTTACTACATTATGAGATATAATGTTGAAGAGAGTATTCATCTGTATTGGTACTATTTGTTAGGATAATAACTTCTCTCTGTGATGTATTTTTAGTTTAGTAACTACAGCTAAAATCGGTATCGAGATTTTTGGCGCATATGTTTTCCTCTTATCAGATTTTTTGTCTTAAACTTTCATAAAAACAATAATTGTGCATTTAAGTTTGTTATCAGAAGAAACAAGCGAGAATGTGTTAGAATAAGTGATGTTATACAACGAAGAGAAAAGTGTTCTACTTTGAATGCAATGTTGAGAATCATATTAAGAAGTTGTCTCGGAAATTAGTAACTACAGAAGAATGTGAGATTTTCCCAAAAGTAAATGTGCATAATAAGATCGTGAAAAAATACAAAAATGTGTATGCAAAATATAGCTATTTGATATTGCTTTGGAAATATTTAACAATGTTAATCAGAGTTAAAAACGCTTCTTACAAGTTTTGGTTAGGAAGCTCTAATAAAGAGAATTTTGTTTGTTTATATTCTGAATCTTGTAATTTTTTGTAACTGAAAGTCAAATTTCTATATTCAAAATGATACTTATTAAGATTTTTGTGCATTTAATTATATTAAAAAGGAGTATTTCTACCTAAACTGTGCTAATAGGTTCATAACTGATCATAAAAGCCCAAAATTGTGATTAAATTGTAAAACACTTCTTTAATAAAAAAATAAAGAAAAAAATTGATGAACCCGGTCTGATAGATGGGGGCAAGTGCTTTGCAGAAAATACCCGAATATTTTTTATAATGAGTTGCTAGACTGAGCAACAAAATATTTTCATTAATATATGTGGTTGTTAAGCTGAGCAATAAAATATACAACATTGCTCTCTATGATCATTACCAACTTGCAATTTGACATATGCACTTACCCATTTCTTTGTAAACTCAAGCAAGCAATAACCTCAGATGCGTAAAAAATAACATATTCTACTGGCAATACATCTGTGAGCTTTTTCCATTCCTTGTATAATTGCTTATTAATTTTGCAATATTTTTTTCTGTCTCCTCTCGAATTTTCTCTGTCAACTAAAAGACTTGCTAAATCGGTATTTATATTATTTATCTTTCTTCTAACTTCTACTTTATCGAACAGATTGATGCAGAATGTCATATAATGTTTTAGCTGAGATTTTGTAATATATTTTTGCAATCTTCTTATTTCATTCTTAGCACTCCCGTGCCAGTGGTCATATTCATCATTTTCTAATATCTTACTAACACTTCTACTACATAAAATGTTTTCCAAGTTGCTCTTCAGCACATTTTCAACATAAGATTTAAGTTTAGTCAAATAACTTGAATTTCTCTTTGAATTCTCCATGATATTGTGAGTGCGAAGCACAAGAATGTCCCGAGAGCTGTGAGCTTCTGGAGATGTTAATGAAGTTATAAAATCCATTAATTTGAAATGTAAATATACCATCCGAAGCACTCATTTTCACAGGTAACCAGGTATCATGTACAGCCCCTTTAATCCTAGATATTTGGAAGTTTTGAAGGTTAAACCAGATTAAAACGTTAAATCACAGAATAGAAAAACCACAGAACACCCTAACTACACAAAAGCGTAAGTGAAAGGCGGCACTTTGGTGTTCTGTGGTAAAACATCTATTTATGTAGATTTATGTTAACTGTTTCCCGCCTGAAAAAGTAGTACCGGAGTCCTGGATTGCGTTCATGAATTTACTACTAGTGATCACAGAACTCATAAACTTAGCTGCATTCGAGTCGACATCCGATGAAGTGCTGTATCATTTTCGTAAATGAAAATCCAAAATAGAAAAATTCGTGATTCCGTAGTTGAGACATCAATATTTTTTTGTTGTAATTGAAAATGTAGGCGATGAGGATTGTCGTAAAAAAAAGAGTTGCATATTTATACACGACACTGAAGAAAAATTTCATTAGTGCGCATGTGCGAACTTGAAGTTAGCCAGTCCCCGAATAGTTCCGAATCAGATATAAAAAAAAACGAATCAGTTTGGGAACGATAATGGAACTGTTCTAAATTAACTGAAACACATTTTGATAACTGCGTATGATCGAACTGTATCAAATTAAAAACGAAAACAAACCTTCAAGTTTTCGAGTACTGTGTACTGTGCACATACATAGTGGACAGGTTTACAGCAATCTATTCGAATGAAGCACCTCATATATTAGGTTTGTTCTAGTTCTAACATCCAAAACTGTTTGGAAACTGCGCAAGACATGATGCGTACAAACAAAAATCTCAAACAAGTCCGAAATAGTCTCGGACACTTGTTTAAACCAGAACGCTTTTGAGGAGACCACTTTGCCACACATCGTATATATATGAAGAGATGAAGACGAGAAAATACTATTGATCATGTCCATTTTGTTATGTAGCGTATCCTTGTAGTCAGTTCAAATGTTATCTACCGTCAATCATCAATTATTCAAATCAAATTAATAAAAAAACAACCTAGCAAATAGCCCAAACAAATTTCTACATGAGCAACGGGAACAGTTCTCAACAGTTCAGCCACGAGAGCAAGAATGATTCGGGACGGTTCAAAACAGTTAGGATCATTTCGCAGTCGAAACCAGAACAGAGGATTCATCAGTCCGAAATTATCCTCAATAAACCAAAACGCTCTATATTAATTGCGCATGATCCTGACGTCCTAGAACCTCAATTTCGTAGAACCTGAAGAAACCTATAATTTTAATCGATTTCCTAAAGTTCGTTCGAACGATGAATTATATCAAATGACTACAGGGCGTTTTGAATATGTCAGACGAAAAAATCGTGTAATCGCTGTATCTCTGCAAATAATCCAGTCACAGTAGCGGCACATAAATAAATGTGCTTAGCATACAAAGGGAAACGAGATATTGTTATTCAATTATTTTTTTCCTCGTCTTTTTGAGTTGAAACACTCCCCAACGAAATAACTATCAAAGCACAATAGATAAAAACTGCAAGATTCAAAGTATAACAATATTTTTATATAATATTACATAATAGCCTTGTGTACAGTTATATATTGATTAGCTATTATTGCGCTGAAATACGGACTGGATTTTCATGCTCATGATTTGTACAATATAAAGGCAGCAATAAACACATAAGCGAGTCACCTGACACTTCAAGAAGAGTACTTCGACCGCAGTTGTAGTTGAAACTTTTGGAGATTATAATGATGACTTTTGGTATTGAACAACTTGTTAGTGATTCAACAAGAATAACTAGTTCTTCACTGATTGATTATGTGATAATAAGACTAATCTAAAAAATCGTATTCACCATGAGCCTAAAATTACTAATCACTTAATAATTTTCGTTATTATACAAAAAAGTGACTTTGCGATATCTGCCACTTTTTTCACACGAAGAATAACTGATGAGGTTTTTCATAGTATGGTTTAATAACTTCACTGACGTGAATAAAATTTACCATAATATTGAATCGGAGTGTAGATTAATTTTAAATGAGATAGCATCTGTTGAAAACACTTTCTCAAATTCCCAACACCTGAACAAAAATTACGGTCTCTTGACGCGTGTTTCGCTAACCAAGTTAGCGTCCTCAGGAGATCATTATGACTAAATTTTACTACTATTTTAGTGTTTTTATATGCTAGTGGCCTAACTACTACCTGTTAGTAATTATTAGTAAGTAGCGTCGAGAGATCGTAATTTTTGTTCTGGTGTTGGAAAAGTGTTTTCAATTGATTAATTTTACGTCAGAAGTTTCAGTAGGAACAATCAAGAGATAGCACCTATTATTGAATTCAAAAACGAAAAAAATCAGGTTCCTTGATAGGATGATGAAATAAAATCAGTTTCTAAACAAAGAAACAATTCGTATAAAGACTTCAAAAAAGACCAGTGCCAAGAAAAAGGAGTTGTGGAATGATTGTATATCAAAACGAAATGAGGTTAATTTACTGAAAATTAAAAAATCGCAATACTTTGAAAATAAAATTGATTCAAATAAAAATGACCCTAAAGAAACGTGGAAAAATATTGAAAAATTAACAAAAGGTGAGAAGCAACATATGAACTTATAAGTGCATTAACTTCAGCAGTGATGACACTATATCCAGGATGAAAACTAAGTGCTGCCAATAAATAAATTTCATTTTTTGTTGCTAGCATTGAGCGAATCTCTAGTTCCATTATCTTTGAGGAAAAGTGGTCTCAGGAATATCTTAGGCCACTGGTAACTAGTTTTTCTGAATTGGAAAATGTAACTTTAGGTAAGTTGTGAATAATTATATTTTCTCTAAAAAAAAATACAGAATTGAGGAAGTAATTAGTACCAAGTTTTTGAAAGAAATGTTTCATACGGGTAAACCTAAACTTGATATATACTACACTATCAAATGGTAGCTTTCCTATCCAACTGAAACTCAGTACTATAATGCTCATTCCTAAAATTGATAAGGCAATAAATGTCTGACTTTACCAACTCTAGAGAAACTTTAAGAAATAATAGTGTACTACGAAATAATTGATTACTTCAGTAAGAATGATCCTTTTATGAGTAATCAATCTGGCTATTCAAATAAAATTATAAATAATTTTCGTGTAATTCAAAGTAGTGTACTAGGACCACTGCTTTTTATAATATACTTGAATGATCTCAATTATGTGCAATGCCATGATTTTCCGAATTTATTCGCGGATGACACATTGGTTGCATGTTATAGTAACAATCTTAATAACTCGAATGAACCAAGTATTATTAAAATATGAAATGTATCTAGGAATAAATAAACTAAAATTGAATACAAAACAAACCAAAGCAATATTCTCAATAATAAACATAAATTAAAGCATGTGGACTATGAACCCCTACAACTTAGCATTGATAATGACAAAATTGAATGGGTAACTAAATTTAGACACTTAGGTTTCATAACAGATGATGAGTCACTAACACTGAATACCCATAGTGATTACATTGGCAAAAAAAATCGACTTTTTTTCTAGGATATTTTCAAAGATAACTATATATAGAAATATACAAAAATTACAAAATCGAGGAATGCGAATAATCTTGAAGTACGCTGAATTGGCATTATGTAACACAAGGACTATTTTACATGTCAATGATGTTCATTTAAAAAATCTCAAAGAATGTATTACCAAATTACATCACAGCTCTTATTATACTGGTTGAGAACTGAGAAAACTTACTGAATGGTGATATCGAGGCTTGTTGAAACAGCAAGATATTTAAAAGTACCAATAAGGTTTTGCTAGTAGATTTTTTTTAGAATGACTTACCAGTCATTATTATTTCTCCTTAATTGTACACCTGATATCGTGGAAGTTTTGTCATTTTGAATATCATCAAAATATCTCGATTGTGAAGCATATGTAGCATTATTTTGTTTGATGAATTCAATTCCAAAATGAGTCATCACTTTTTTTTCATAGATTTCATTTTATTCTTTTTGTTGGGAACAATGAAGATATGTAAACACAAGGGTCCACTGATGATGGGTTTGTTTTAAATTATACAATGCCTTATTCAAATGGCACTGTCACAATCTTAATTTCTTAAATCTTGGAGCTTTGAATGCCACACTTGCATCAAGCATACTTTCACAGAAAAGTGTATCCAAGTTTTTTGGTTTTTTCATGTATATGAGTGAAACAGAATCAAATACAAAAAAATCTCTGTATTCAAGTGGCTTCTAAATAACATTAGCGCAAGTATCCCTTTTCTGACCCTTGTTGACTGATGCCTCTGATATTCAGTCCTTTCCGAGCCAAAAAAGTGGTTTTCACATGAAAATTCATTTTTTGATGGAATTATTTGAATGTAAGTTTCTTCACAAACTGTGCCTATATTGATTTGTTTAGTATCTGGTGAAATTTCATTTTGGATAGTGAATTTTAATTTGAATGAAAATATTTATAAGTCCAATTTATCACCCTCCATTTCATTATACTAACAACTAAGAGTTGGTAAGAATACTTACCATAGGTGCGATAGCATTTGGTAAATCGGTCACGTTATAATTGGACTTTTGGGTATTCCAAGCTTGCAGAAACTGCAGAAAAAATGCACCAACTTCTAGACTTGTGGCAACAGCATTCCTGATTAGACCAAAACTTAACTGGGATAAACTGGAAAAATATTTCAATATATTTAATATAAATGAGCATGATATTTATTCTTTGAAATGCATCTGTTTTCTACATTTATTGAAAAAGGGTTGAACTATACCTCAAACTGCCTTTGAATAATGATGACCACAAATTAGTATCATCCATTTGGTCCATATTGTATGTTAACTTTAGGTCTATCAGTTTGAGTAAAGGTGTTTGGAATTCTGAGTTATTGGCCATATATTGAACATAATTATGTATTGATATCAGACCCCAAATTATTTCAAATGAAGAGTGTGAATATAATAACACCTTTTTGAATTTTCCCTCTAAATCCTGGAAAATCAGTAATTAAAATGAACTTCATATCATATTTTCAAGAAACCTACATTTCTCAAACATCCTTCCGCTTTTTCTATTCGTATTAATGCTATTTTTTCTTCAACTTTTCTTTTGAAGTAGGGCAAAATTACCAAAAATATTAATGAATATTCCCTTTGCTTCTTAGATAAATTACTATGGCTCCTTGAAACCCTTTTGAGACCATAAAAATTTTCGGAAAATGATGCATCTGTAAAAGTTAAAAACTTTGAAGACTGAAAAAGAGGTATCTTGACCAGTGTCATATTTCAGATGATTCAAAGAAAATAAGATATAGGTACGATGGATTATTACAGCAGAGCCGTTGAAGATGATCTCATTTTTACCATAGTATGCCAGGTAGTAGTACTGCAAAAGCCCATTCAGACATAAAAATGATTCTTCAAAATAATCATTGAGCCAGCTGAATTTATGAGGCACATTAGTTGATAATACCTAAAATATTTTCAAATTTAATAGGGAAATCAATGAACGTTCTAGAGTTACCAGAGCTATTTTCTGCAGTGCTGGGTACAAGGTATCATTCAAAGATTTTTGTGCTACTATCTCAAAAATACTCGGCCTGTTTTCAAAGGTTGAAGTAAAATTAGCTGCGTTTTCTACCATAATTGAGGAAGTTTATTGTCTACATTCAAATTTTAACCCAAATGCCCTTTGATCTTTAACATTTTTGTATTTTTATTTCCTTAACCAATGATTTTTTTAACTAAATTTTTAAACATTTGAAGGTTACGTCACATACACAGTCTGCAGTGATGTGAATTTATTGTCTCTCGCCCTCTCTAATGAGGAGAGAAAGATGAGATAAAAATAATCACTTCCGAACAAACCAATTTTCTGTTTAATTCACAGACTACAGAAACAAGTTTACAATCAGTATTTTGTGGTTTAATTACAGAAGTGTAGAACAACCCCGCAATTTCTGACATCGGCTTAGACATTGTTGGTAAATTTCGGACTATATCAAGGTTCGTAGTTGATAGATTTCGTTGACAACTGACATTTACAAAATCAGTGGAATAAAAGAATAAATTCTTTCATATCTGGATCTGGAATACTAGAATTTCTTAAAAAGTTAGATATTAATTGTCCTTTGTCCTATGCATTTCATTTGAGTGGCATTCATCGTCTATCGTCTACACATCCACATTTAATGAACAATTTTTGTTTTCTTTGAGAAAGGTTTTAGATTTCTACTTCTCCATCTTCATACAGATCTCTCCTATACATCCCTATCAATTTGAAATTTTGTTTATGTTGTCAGTTGTGTGGAATTTTGGTGAGTTTTCAATTATTTGTTAAATTAACATTCTCATAATTCTATATTGTTATTGTTTATTGTGTATCATTCAGTATAATGATATATCGTTGACAGCTGTAAAATGAAATATAGTTGTGTAATAGTTATTTATTTCAAACTACCCCTAACTAAATTTTAATAGTAACTGATTATTCATAGTTTGTAAATGACAGGCCAAACTTTTCATTATATTTTTTCAAAAGCCTCGTTTATCGTACTTATTCGAAGAAGATAATGTCCAAGACAGCACTGGTACTAGTTGCCCCAGGATCAGAAGAAATTGAATTTGTAGTTGCTGCTGACGTGTTGGTCAGAGGAGGGGTAAACAGTGACTTCTTGGGGAAACATGATAATCATTTCCCTATTTTTGTAGATTCAAGTTACTACTGCTGGGGTTCCTGACGATTCTCTTTTGAAATGTAGTAGAGGTGTCCATATAAAACCTGATATTGGAGTATGTGAGGCTAAATCAAAAGGAATTTTCGATATTATAATTCTTCCTGGTGGTTTGGGAGGTTCAAATGCTATGGGAGAATCTAAAGATGTTGGTGAACTACTCAAAGAACAAGAATGTAGTGGAAGATGGATAGCTGCCATCTGTGCTGGTAAGTTCAATAATCATGAATATTCAGCTTTGTCAACACATTGTCGATAGTCATGAAAAGCCACATCCTTCTGGAGAGGGGTGTTAGGTGGACAACATGTAGAATTGTGCATGTTGCCTATTGCACCAAACATGCTTAGGTGAAGTGTAGCAAACTACTAGTTGAAAATCGCAGGGTTCTAGGAATGACATACAATTCAATAGCTCCAATAGTCAACTATATAGCCTGCCTTATACAGTCCTAATTTCTAGTAGAGAGGTGTAAATCCTCCTGGAGAAGGAAATACTTAGATCAGTAAACTGTTGGTTCAAAGTGGACAAAAAACACCTTCACTGATGATGCAATTGTGAAAAGATGAGTAGAATTTGGAACCTCTGGTGTGAAGTGATTGTAATGAAAATATGTTGTTCACCACCCATTAATCTAGTTGGTGAGTGATCTTTCAGGATAGCTGGTTCAGAGTGGTTTTTGATAAATTATATGATAATAATAATAACATTTATTTGGTAAGTAGGATATTGAGGTTGTCGGATGTCCAAGATCATCACTTCCTTTGATACTCAGAACAAACTACCCATATAAGGGCATCTGTAAGCTATACCTAATGATACATCAGTTTCAACCAAGCAGGTTTTTTTCACCTCTGGCTTGGGCAAATCATTTTTTGAAGGTAAGCACTTGCTGAGCTGCTCAGGTGCATTTTCTTTCCTCTCTTGATGCAGACTCCGCTTCTGTTGCTCAAGAATTTGATGCCAGGCAGATTCATTATATATCCTTTTCTCGAAGAGGCGGTAAATTGCTTCCTGACTGCACCACCTTATGTTCTGGGGTTGTCAACAAAATCAACAGTTGGATTTGTTTATTACTTCATGTTCCTTAAAGAATCCCATAAGTAGTTGGGCAAAGGGGGTTCATCTCGGCATTACCGTGACAAGGCTTCCTACGCTGAGAGGACACCTAGTATCTCAAAGGTTCTCTAATTCACACTGAGAAAGCTCAGTGTCATACATCCTTTTAGCATAAATACACACACATCAGGATAAGGAGTCATTTGGGAGGAATCTTACCTCCATGTTCGGTAGGGGTATTTTGAAGGCCTCTGCTGCATGAGATTTATTTCATTCTCTCTCTCTCTCTTTCTCTTTCTGTTTTGTTGGTTGCTGCTTCCGGGTAGGCTTTATGTTATATAAAATAGTTATTTTTGTTTACTTAAAAAACCTGAGCCTGCATGTAATGTAATAAGTATTTTGGTCAATAAGTATTGTTGACTGTCCTCAATTTTAAATAATCTCATGAATAACTCTAACCTTTCCTTTTTCATCATCTTTATAAATTATGTAACTCCTCATAAAATACGGACTTCTTTCAAAAACTATTCAATAAGCTATTTCTGTTTTAGCACCAGTAGCTCTTGCTAGTCATGGCATCGGCATTGGTAAAAATGTCACTTGTTATCCTACAATGTGGAGTAAAATGCAAGAGAAGGGAAAGTATAACTACTTGAAAGATGACAAAGTTGTTGTAGATGGTAATATAATAACAAGCCAAGGACCAGCAACATCCTTTGAATTTGCTCTTACGATTGTTGAAAAATTGGTTGGGAAGGAAAAAGCAGCTGAAGTCGCTAAGGGTTTACTTTTGACTTGTTGATTAATTAAAAAAAATAAAAATGTTAGAATATGTTTGTAATATAGTTGATTTTGTTGAACTGACAGTTTTTTATTTTTTACCACAAGAGCCTGCTTCATTCAAGGGAAAATTCAATCAAATAATTGTATTTTCTTATTTTACAAATGTTTATGAAAATATTAAAAAGCACAATCGCAAATGTGTTTCCTGTGGTTTTTTGACAATTCATTTGTTTCATGACTAGCGCCACGTCATTTACAGATAACATTTTAAAGATGTGAATTTGCACTGGAACATTTTTTCTTTGGCTTACCAAGTTATCATCATCAGGGGATGACTGATAAGTCTCCCAACACAAATTTTCCAAAATGATTTTTTCTTATACAATGATTCAGATTTCTAAAATATGCCCAGAGAGGGGTTGCATATTGAAAATTTTTGGAACAATTTTAATGAAAAAGAATCTTCGAAATTCTATGCAAATTTATGTAATTATAACATTTTTTTTTGTCCTACGACAAAACTTCGATAAATAGGTTTGATTTGAGATGTAAATACTAACAATTTTATACTCAGGATACTGAAATTATCATCTATTGAAAAAGTTTCTGAACAAATTTTTTTTACCATAATTATCAAGTAAGTGTAAGTATTAAAGAGAACTTGAATGTGTTTGACTCCTATATGCTTCCATTCAATAAAATCCCAAATGAAACCAAAATAATTTGTGATATCATCACAGAAAACACGGTGTGGCTTTTGTTTCATGGCGTTAATTATTGACGTTATTAGTCTCGTGTTCTATATTATATAAGTTAATAATTCCGCGAGCCACCTAAAGTGCATTATGACTATCGCATTCCCATTAGCCACTGTAGCACAGCGAATTGACAAAAATAAGTTTTCACTTTGACATTCAAAGCTACTAAAATTATCCTGATCAACCTTTTATTCGGGTCTTTTCAATCTGTAACATGAAAATTGTAATGGAAAAAAATTTGAATGCTTTAGTTCACCCCAATAAGTAAACGCGTTAATTCAAAGTGTTTTTCACAAAGAAAAATGGTTTATTTATCAGCAACTTGTATTTGATAAATGTTCCAAACTAAAAAGAATGAGAGATTCATTTACTTTTTCTCCAATTAGGAAGATGGAGACAGCTTTCAGTCTCAAAACGTTAAAATCAGTATCGTTATAATTTATTAGCTCGTTTTTTTGTAAAAACATTTTTGAATGTATGCAGTAACTTATCGGGGTGAACTAAAAAGTTTTTGGTAGGTAGGAGATCATAATGAAAAATGAGAAATAAAACTTTCTGTTTTTTTACTACTTGTATTTTTAACTAACGTTACTGCAGTTTCGTCCTATACGGAGTTTATTCCATTCGTTTGAAAATGTCTGTATAGAATGAAACTGCAGTAACGTTAGTTACAAATATAAGTGGTAAAGAATATAGAAAGTTTTATTTTTCATAAAAAGTTTGCCCTTTCTACACCTGTATGAAGTTCTCTTTTACAATTTTTATATTTTTTCAGATTGTGGAAAGTGAAGAAACTTAAAAAAAGTATAAAAAAACTTCGATTTCTTTTCCCCACAAAAAATTGCTTTTTTTCAATTTTCATATCAATTGTTCAGCAGTTTTTTCTTCAACGATTGATAAAAATGAAACGATGACCTAAATGAACAAGTTAAAATTATGGCAATAAAAGAAAATGTATTATTTACAGAATCGAAAAGTTGATTTGAAATCTCCAGTTATTATTTTTCTGTTTTATATATTACTAATAATTTAATCAATTTCAAAGGAAAATATTTAGTTTTCCAATTTAATAGTGTTTAATTTTTAATGATGATATCTTTTCATGATCATTTTTATAATTTTTTCCTTCAATTTTATAGCAAATCTATTTGATTCATTTTTAGATTCAATTAAATATCACTGATGAACATATGAAGATTATGAACGAATGGTTACATGAAAATTTCATAATTCTTCAGTTAGTGATCTCAGGGTGACGAATTTTTCGTTTGTTAGAATGTATTTGCATTACAACACATATGTAAGTTCGGTGGTGTAATCTGAATAACAAGTTTTTGTTTTTATTGAGACGCCCTGAGCATTTGTTCAGTAGGTACTTTATTGTGAAAATAAATTTCATCAGCGTGTTGAGGAAAATCAGGCCTCTGAATAAACTGGTTCAAACGAAAGATTCTTTGAAATGACTATTCTCAATTAGAACTTTGTCTGAATCAAATAAATTATGCGTTGTAAGACTATATAACAAAATTAAAACACCATATACATGTTTGAAGATTAAAGAGTTCTTGACATGCTCTGAATAATGTCGGCAAACATTTCCGATAAATTGTTTTGCTACCACTTAACAAGCTCATCACTTAAAACAAAAAGATTTTGTTAAACAATCCGACAAAACTCAATTCATCGCCCTAATGCATCTTACAAAAGCTCGATTGGGTTTACATCAGGATTTTTCGGAGACCCAAACCATATGTGTTGAATGAACAAGTATTCACATGCAAATATTCTCTTGTAGACTATGGGAACCGTGTTAGTTTAATAGAATAATGCTTTTTGAAAAACACCTGAGCACTTTTTGGAAACATTCATATTGAGTACCCGGGAACATTGAGAGATTCAACAAAAAATGTGAAATTGTCATGTGTTGTGGAATGGGCAAAACATACTTTATCCTAGGCTTTATAAGTACTTGACTTCTGTGAAAGATCGTGACTATATAGTTCCTTCTCCGCGATTACCGAAATGAAGATGGGAGAATAATTCGTGTCCGACTAGTAGTTCAATAAATCGGCCTACTCTTTGAGAATGCCAATGGAATGTCTCTAGAGTCGTCATATTAGAATTAGTAATCGCAAATTGAATGTTGATAACTCCGATTCAGTTATCCTTGCTTTGGTATCAATTTCTTCATAGGTAACATCAAGTCCAAAGTAATTTTATATGGCAATCTCAACTTCAAATCATCCTTCACCTCCTATGATGATCTTAAATTATATATACCACCTTGAAATGTTATAATCTCAAACCGATAGTATTTTAACCCACAAGGGTTACTGATATATATCCATTGACAATAAATCAAATTGAGACTTATATACCATTAAATTCTAGAAATGACGTTTTATAGGTACATTTTTAACTGCCTCTTCAATGAGTAGGTACTTTCTTCATAAGAATTTCAAAGCTAACCTGATACAAAATTAAGGATAAATGATGAAAGTTTGAAAATTCAGTCAGAATATCAAATTTCTTTGTGGGCTAGCAAACATTTTCTCAAAATCAAATGAGAGCTATGGCACTTGCCTGGATGGCAAGAAGAGTTATGGACTTCTGGCAGAATCTTCGAGGATTGGCTCACTCCAAGGCGTTTATTCACCAATCAATTTCAATTCTTTATTTATCCATTCGAGCAAATACAGCTATAGGACAAGTCAAAAAACATATAGACATACAACAAAGTACAGTGAGTAAAATGATAAAATAAAACAAATTATGTACATGCATAACAAGGATTACAGACAAAATACAATTAACATAGGATAGTGAAATAATACATGTTTACAGGTTGTTCTTTAAAAAATTAATTCATAATAATCTTCTAGGGAGTAGGGACACAGATCAATTAGTATCTTTTTCACTTCAATAAGTGCCGCATTTTTTTCATAACTGATATATTTTAAAGTGAATTGTTCCTTAGCACAAGATCTTCAATTGTACATTTAATGGGTAAATTTAATGAATTTTCATTCAAGTAATTGGGAGTACACTTCTCAAAAATATCAGTTCTGTAACTATTGCAGTACAGTCATCAGTATAGTTAGGTTAAGTTAGGTCCAAAGTGAGTGGGCCTATTTGACTCTCCCCCGCAACCCGCAAGGGTTCATTGTGGCTCACACCTATTCACACTCGACCAAATAAACCCAGCTTCTTAACGAAACCAATTAGTTTCTATGGTGAGTGGTCTTTCAGGTCAGATGGTAAGTGTACGGCTCTGCCGAACTCTAAAAAACTGATTCGGTCCCCAGCGGGGCAGGCATAAAGTATATGCTCTGCTATATCATCGTTAATGAGGTAGTCGGGTAGTCAAGGTGCAAGATTCCCACCTTGATACCCGCGACAACCTTCCCATATGAGGGTTTTTGCAAGTCAGCTACACCTGACGATGCCTTAGATTCAACCGTGCAGGGCTTTTTCGCCTCTGGTTTTGGTGAATCATCACTTGAGCGCAAACGTTTGCTATCCTGCTCATGGGGGGGTTTGTTCCTCCACCTGAAGGGGCTCAAGAATTTGGTGTAAGACGGTTTCATAAGGTACCCCGCTCTTGAGAAGACGACTCAGTTGTTTTCTGGCTGTACCCCCAATTTTTTTTTTTTGGTTCAGTTATTGGATCAGGAGTTGGAAAGTTGAGAAACTCTCGCTCCTGATCTAAATTTACAGGGAAGTCAGTTGGAGTCGTATAAGCTCGACATCCATCTCCTCTGTAGACTCAGCGTCAGAAATAATTTTCAAGTTCACCCTGTCCATAAAAGTCCCACGAGTAGCTAGGTAATGAAGGTCAATCACGGCAGAGCCCCGCATTACTGTGACAAGGCGATGCTACGACTAGAGGGCGCCCGGTAGAGACTACTGATAGGTTCATTGTCATTCATCCTCTGGGCACGGATACATGGGAATGACATTCAGTTACGGAATAACAGAACCACAAGTGATTCTGTCATTCCCGTATCCAGCGGGGCTACGTGGAAGAAGGCATCCGATGGCCGGTTTGTTCGACCCCCACATCCCAAACCAATGAGCTCACTAAAACAGCATGCACAGTGGTTCATGCAGTGAAAGATGAACAAGGACAGCCAAGTCGCCGGCATCAGTAGTACTCAAAGCTATACTTGCTTGTTTCTTTGAAAACCACGATATTACTAGATATGCAGTGATGAATCAAAGGACTACTGACGCTTTTTCTGTCTTGAAGATTTCATTCCCATACGACTAAACATGATCTTTCTTTACGCTCCCTCATGATCATAGCACCCAAACGAAAGC